AGTATGACTAAACTGAGACAATTTTGTCAGTTTCTTTAAATCCGAGTCATACCCACATTTGCCACTCAGATGAGCTCCAGGACCCCTTCATTGATACCAACAGTCATGTTCCAAATGTGTTATTTTGATTGGATTTTAAATATTGTTGCAATTAATTGTCATGCAGGTGAACAGTCAGTGTTTGATTAGTTTAGTAAACTTTGTATTTGGAGGCAGAACCTGGATGTTTCTATAACATTGAGCTAACTATTTTTCCATTACTATTTTTAGCAACTTATTTTTTTAAATCTATTACCTAGCACTTTTGAAACAATCTTTTACAATTTTTAGCATTTATCCATTGCTGTCAGCTGACTACTTTATTTCAACTGTTTTTCATGATTGCAATTACTGTTGCAACTAGGATAAAACTAACCTGTCTCATGATGGTCTGAACTCAGCTCATGTTTTCTATTCGTGAGTGAACAATGCATCATACGTTGAATTATGCTTCACAACAATGCAACCGCTGATCTGAATAGATCAAAAGGCAACATTGCCATTAAGGTCTGGCTGACGCATTCATTGTTTTTACAAACTGGTCTGTCCTCATTGCTGTTTTGCTCCCTAGTTTTTGTGACTCAGTGTGTTTTTGTTTTTTAATCAGACTGGAATTTCAGATTTTTTCAAATTAGTCAATATACCCCAGGGGGTACTTCTGCAGGCTGAAAATCACGAATCTAAATGGCTTTATGAGCTAAAATGTTAGTAATAATCCTTAATTGCTCAGGAAACTATACGTGCAGAACTGCAGCCACTGCTGTGTTGGATGTTAATAGTGTGAGTCAAGTTCATTTTCTTATCCAAATACTGGAAATTTGACTAACCCAAGGGTTTGTTTACGACCTGATTCATCGTGTGACTGCATATTATCTCAGTGTGACAATGAAAATATTCAATCTTAGAAAGAAAATACACTTGATTGTACGTCTGACAGTGTGTATTTTACAGTGGTGCTGCTACTGACCCCCCAGCTACAGACAGGTCACCTCCACAGTATCAGCTACCACCAGGCCAACGCATTAAATATGTAGGCATGTGTAAAGAAACCCTGTCCTCCATTTCATCTTATTGAGACGCGAGCACCTCTACTCTCTTTTTTCCGACTGCCTCATACCCCGTCTTCCCCTCCTCCTCCTCCTCCTCCTCCTCCTCTTCACTATCTTTTCACCCCTCTAAATCCAGGGCTTATTCTCTCACACATAACAGACACACACACAAACAGGAGTTCAACTGGAGACAGTCAAGTGTGTGAAATGGCTTGGGTTAGCTCTCTGCTATGTGTTTAACAATTTCTCTTATATTTTACCTCAAACCTGAGATGATGCATGTAAGTTATCACATGCTGTATGTCACCTTCATATCAGCTATGACACATAATTGAGTGCCACTTTGACTTTAAACTTCATGTAACTGCTGAGTAGAAATCCAGAGAATCTTGTAGAATTTGATAGAAAATGGTTAAAGGGTCTAATATTTGGTCTTAATGTGAAGATTGTTGGGTTATGTATTATTCTGCCCCTCCGCTAAGCCCCTGAAAAAAAGGATGAATGAACTGGGGAAGAGGTGTCAGAGCCTGGGGGAAGGGTCCAAGGAGGCGGAGGGACATTCTTTCTCGGCCCCCCATAATCACTATTTGTGTTTGGCTGCGTTGCCCCACTTCCACTGTGTGTGTGTGTGCATGTGTGTGTATGTGTGTGTGTTGTTTGGTGGGTAAAAGGGTTCACTTTCAGCCTCGCCGCTATAGTTAAATTTCATTCATTCCACTGAGGACAAAGCAGGGAGTTTGAGAGTTTGAGCAGCAGTGAAAAGCTGCCCGACGCCTGAATGTCTGATATATCTGCACCATTCGCTTCTGTAGTGCACAAACCACGTGCACTGGGTAGTTTCTTTAGCTTAATGAAATTGCGTTCCTCTATTTTTTCCTCTCTCTTTCCCTATGTATGTATGCATAGCATAAAATATAGTCACCACATCATATGATCTCTGGTAAGTAGCTACAACAAGGCCTGTCTGAATCTTTGCAATGAAAACATTAGATATCAAAAGTATGTTGCCAAAAGAAACATATATAAACCTACAAAAACAAAGCAAAAAAAGAATATTTGATATGTAAAACATCTAAAGAAACACCTGTATTTTCTGAAGTTGTTTGTCATATGGTGTATTAGTGTCAAACTTAATTCATATGACAATACGAGAGCATTCCTGTTTTCATGTCTTTCAGGATGCTGTTAGATGAAAACAAATACAACTGAATCACTGCAGGTGTTTTTTCATGCAACAACAAACTGTGTTTTAGGCATTCTAAAACATCTTTATTTGCTTGATTGCACCAAAAAGCATCATATTTTAAGCCCAATTAAATCATAGTTTAGCTTTAGATTACGTTACACCAGAGATTAAATTTAAAACCTCTCTTTCACCTTAGTTTCTACTGTAAATCCAAAATGAATTGAAATCTGTTGCCAAACTGCAATGTGCATTTCTCCCTGTTTTCAGATGATCATTTGTTAATTGAGAAATAATCTGCAGATTAGTCCGTTTAGTTAGTCGCAGCTCTTGTTTCACGTTATCAGCTCCAATTAACTGAGAAATCTTTAATACTATAAAGAACTGGATGAAGAATGTAAAGAGCCATCACCTAAATGAAGAGGTTCTTCAGATTTTTAAGGCCAGTTTTGACTATTGTATAAAAGTCAAACACACATGCACAAACGTATATCCAGAGAGTCAGACAGTGCTGCATGTCTGGCCGCAGTCCAGAGTTTGGGTTTTAGCCATGGCTTACAGCCTGACACACTGAGCTGACAGCTGGCCCACTGAGCCCATGAAACACACACCATGACATATGACAACACACTTGCTCACACACAGCCGGCCTGCCATATATCATATATACATGTCAAACATTAAGCATTACAACATTGCGTATTGGCTCCTTTAGGCTTTGTCTCTCGAGGAAAGTACACTTGCTATTCAAATTTCAAACGCCTCCTCCCTTCCCTTCGCCTTTTCCTCTCTGGTTTCTGCTGTAGTAGAAGTTAATTATAGCAGAGCTGCTGTTTTTTTGGGTAAATTACAGGCTGGTTGACTTTACCAGAGGCTCAGTGGTCTGTTAGAGCCTATTAAGTGGACCTGCAACATTAACCATCTCGCTTAACTGCTTAAAAGGTTAAAAACACCCGCTTGTAGAACTTTACTCTTTTCTGGTGTATCTTTCTTCTCTTTACTGTTTTTCCTTCGTCAGTATGGTTGTTCAAGTGTTTCCTCTCTGTGCGTGTCTGCAGAAACTGAATGATTCCTGAGTCACTCTTCTGACATCTTTAAATTAATCCCCCCAAACCTGGAGCCTTGCCCACGACTTACTGGCATTATTACTGTATGTGTGTGTGTCAGTGGTTGTTGTATGTACACCTCCAGGATAATAGATTCCTGCCTGACAACAACTACATGCATTGTGTGTGTGTTCTGCTTGTGTAGTCATTGTAAAGTCATTGCAAAAATGGGCCAAGTGTGTCCCCAAACATGCTGTAAACAGCTGCCGATACTCTCACACATGCTGCTCTATGCGAAGTGTGGAGGACACGTGAGAGTTGAGATTTACCGTATGTAGTATGAGTCACTGTCTAGCCAATGGTATGCTGACACAAGGTATATAGCATTACTGAAGATGTAAGCTCTTAATCTGTCGGGTTTTCTCATCGTATGGAGCGGCTGGAGCGTCCTCGGTGCCGCCGATTACCAAGATCCGTGAAAAAAACAAACATCAACACGTGCATCTTTGACAAGCTTGAGGTATTGTTGTTTTGTGATCACATGCAAGGCTTTGCTTTGCTCTCCCACTTAGCCTCTTGACTTGCAAGGCTTCAAGCTGTCGCAAAGAAGTTATCTAGTCTTTGCAGAAAACGCTGCACAACTTTTGCACCTGTTCCAGTCCTCTCTACTCATCAGTGAGATTAAAACAGCAATCTGCCCCCATCGTTAAAGCCTCACAATCTGTCTCTTGGGGTGATTTTTTAAAATTCTGAACAGTTTGTTTGCTTTGCACTTCGACGGTAATTAATGCCTCTCCCTGCCAGTCCCACCATACTGCCTGGAAACCTTGCCACACTCCGCTCACACCAGCCACAGTGCCAGCCTTTGTCTATATGCGCTCGCACTCTCCGTAGCGATCCCCCATCGTACGCACTGAGATGACAGACATTAAAAATTCTCAGCTTTCGTTCACAGATGCACACATTGCAATTAACAATCCAATCCTTGGCGTACACGGGTCACACATGGCAACCAAATGGGAGGGAGGGAGAAAGCTTTTTCTCTGTCTCTATCTTTCTCTACATGTCTCAGAGGGCTAAATGAGATTACTGTAATCCAGCTTGACCAGAGGGAAGAGGAAATCCAAATGCTGTTTACTTCATCCCCTTTTCGTGTCTCTACCTCACTTTCACCCCTCTCCTCCCTTTCTCTTTTTGGATTGTCCTTGTCTTTTTGCTCTCCTCTTGTTTTACAGCTGAAATGCCTTTACATTAATAAACGTATTTTTAAAGAAACCCTTAAATAATCAGCCTTTAACGCTGATCTTGTTTCTGTTTATAGTCTAACAGTGTTACTATGAGGCTGGAACAGATCACAAAGGCAGGGATAGTCGATGAATTGGACGTATGAGTAATAAAAAAGGTCAGCAGTTGGCTATAAAGAACAAAAATGCTCACACTGGATTACTGAGTTCATTTCAGAATGCGGTCAGAGTGCTCCCTGCCGCCTGATTTTTTTTTTCTATTCTCTCTTCATCTTTGCTGTCTCATCCGATTTGACCTTTATATTGGTCGGCTAACAGAATAAACAGCACATTTTTGTTGTCTGTTCAGTTCAGTTGAGGCTGAATGCTGAGAACCTCCAGCTATAATCATAATAAGTGATAACATTTTTAAGAATTCTGTTTCTGTCTCTCTGTCTAGATGACATCATGCAGAAGGATGGTCCTCTATGTGCAGCGGAAATCGGCTCTGAACTCCAGAAGCAGTTTGCCATCCTGCCAGGTTGGTTTGATTTGTCTCTCCTGACAGCACAGTGGAAGCTGTGCACTCCGTAAACCGGCGCTGCAGACGGCCGGTTCCAGCCAAATATAACTAAGTGTTCTTTTATGTAATTGTACAACTTGTGACTTAGTGATAATAACCTTGCAAGAGGCGCCCATTTGAAAGTAATTCAACAAATTAACTGCAACTTGTCGCAGTTTTTTTCCCCCCGACGTTTTTATTCTAAGCTAAACTGCAAGAGGAGCCAGTATTTTAAATTCGCTTGATAAATCCAATCACATGAAACAATGTGACTTTGTTAAGAGACGGTGTTTGACCTGAGGTGAGGTAAAGTGGTGAAATTCAGGATGAACGAGTGACCCCAGATAGACGTTCTTCCAAATGCGCACCATCGATTAGATTAGACTGGACAATTGGCTTGTTGGTGCGAAAACTTACTTAGGTAAACTAAATAGGACTTTACGTAAAGATAACGCAAACTGGGGTTGTTAATGCAACAGACCTGCATTCTTTGGAGTCAGTTGAAGTTCATTTTTCTGTGCGACTCTGTTTTCTCAGATCTTCCCTGTTAGGTAAATCTGTTGAAAGCTTTGAAATGTTGACAACCTATTTTTTATTTATTTCTTTATTTTATGTCAAACACTAACTAAATTAAATAATCAAACCATCTAGGACAACAGAAAAACCTGCAGGACACAGATTTGTCATGTGGCTTCCAGAAATAGTCCTACTCGGTCAACTGGCTTAAAAGTGTCATTATTTGAAAGACCTAAACTTCAGAGATATGATCAGTCTTCTGTGTTTTCATCTTTTTGCACATGAACCTTTTTTAGCAGATGAAGTTCGTCATAGGGACATAGCCTGCAGCTGAGACCGAGTGTCCACAATCTCTGTATTGTTTGTTGTTTTCTTATTCAACCAACAATCCAAAATTAGAAAACAGAAAAAAGCAATTTGTTTGTTTTTTTTTTTCATTTAGGATTCCAAACAGCCCCCACATAACAGCATCTTTTTTCTTCTTTTGATTTTATGCTCAAGTCAAACATAGGAATTTTGAAAAACAGGCCACAGATGAAGTCAAATTTTGATATTTAATGTCTTATTTGTTCAACCAGAAAGATACTGACTTTATTGTGTGGTATGCCTGATAAGCTTGCAGTGATGGCACTACCTTTAATGAATTTACGCTCAATATATGTGAATAATTTTTTCAACAAGGTATTTTTAAAAATATTGAAAGTCTTCTCTTTTGCAGAAAGGAAGCTTTTGAAGAAACAGAAAGTCTAACATTGCCACTGACACACTGAGATAGACTCTGGGCAGGAACATGAGCACTGTGCTTATTTGGTTACAGTTTGGAAGATTTCTTTTTGGATGCACTGACAACATGCCTGGATTAGGACGATACTTATAAATCAATAGCAAATCCTGTTTTCATTTTCTAAGATTCTCAATTGGATATGAAAATAACAAACGATACATCTCATGGTACCTGCCCCAAAAAACTCCCAACATAACTGAAAAGCACATTTCAGACAAACTGATGAGATAGTGTATGAATTCATGTGAACACGGAGTCACTGCTGAACTGTAAAGCTCCAGGGCAAAATCAGGCTGCATGACGAAAGAGACGAGCCAGAAACGAGAGAGTTGGACCCCTCCGTAGGAAAAGTTTCACTTTTGTCAGTTACTGATGACAGGTTGACCCAGATACACACAATCACAACCAACCACTCACACACACACAAAGCAGCGTGAAACACACACATATCTACGCAGAAACGTGCACACTTCGGGCCCTGTGTTGGGTTACCATGACGATAATGCCTGCCCTGTAACGGCATGTGAATAATTCAACACCACGATGATGTGCTTTGCAACCTGACCCACCGACGAAAGAGAACGCCAAGTGTGTGTGTGTGTGTGTGTGTGTTTGTGTGTGCGTGCATCTGGCCCTTTTAATTTCACTCTTTTGCCCTGATAACACAGTAAAAAGTTACATCTAGGGGCTAATGTCTGTTTTTCAGTATGAAATACATCTATTACAGTCAGTATTTGTGGTATTTAACCTGCAGCAGTTTACTGAGTAAACATCCACATTTAGTCCAGTTTACTTTGCAAACTTTTTCTATACAGCTCTATTGGGTGATTTGCTTCTATTATCCCAAGTTAATTCCTGCGCAAAGGTAAAACAAGAGCAAAATATAAGTCAAGGTGAGGAATAAAGGGACCAGAACGACTACAGCCACTACATAATCGTTCTGTATTAATCCGGGTGAAGCTTATTTAGAATTTTGAAGAGATTAGAAGATCAAAAGTCAATTTTTTCCATCCAGCTGTCATGAGGTCAATAGGAAAGCACCAGGTTGACACTGCGCCTGCATGTGACTCTGCCTGACCTCTGTGTGATCTCTCCCCTGACCTCTGTGTCTCCAGGGGGCCGTGGGATGAACGGCAGCCCCATCATCGTCTTCCCAGAATTCCCGGCTTTCAGCGAGCTGGAGGAGGAGGAGTTTCAAAACGTCCTCAGCTACCTCACCAGTGTCCCCAGGTCAGTGTCTCTCTCTAACACACACACATGTACAGCGAGCTTTCTGCAGCCTGACAACAAACTGAGAAAGTAGTCGGTCCAAAGTGATCTGAGGTGCACTACCATGTGGAGCCAACAGATGTCAGCACAATACAAAAGGCCTGATGGAAGGAAAGAGCCACAAAAGAGACATTAAAAATTGATTTTAAACAGAAATGCAGATGGAGCAATTTTGAGAATAAGAAAAGAATAATATACAATAAGAGGAAAATTATTAAGGAATGCTATTCAAAATTCTATGTTGTTGGTGTAGATAAATTAGCTATTTTTCAAAATATAATGCCGCAGCAGTGCTACCCCAACAAAGACCGGTTTGTGTTACTAATTAAAATAAAATCCACACCTCTTTTCATCTTTCTGTTCTTATCTCCTCCTTTTTTTTTCTCCGTCCCTCCTCCCTCTCACCACATTCCCCTCCCTTTCTTTCACCTTCCCTTCACGCTGAGAGCTGCACTTCCAACACACACAAACACACATGATTAAAGGGAGGAGAAAGGATGGAGATGTATGCATCCTGTATGTACATATGTGTATGTGACATGGCCGCCTTTCAGTGTATCCTTTTTTCTTTTTTTTCTTTTTTTTCCTTGCGGCTCATCACCTTCCATACAACACCCACCCTCCTGCCGACTCCCTCCCTTTTCTCCCCCACCAGCTATTTGTGCACCGCTGCCAATCGGCCGCGCTCTGAGCTCCCATTGGCTGTGGGCGAACAGCAAGCTGCAGAGCCGGGGTTGTAATTGGCTGAGGGTGGGAAGCGGCTGGTGGAGAAGCAGAGGGAGAGAAAAGGAGAAAAAAAAAGGAGGAGGGAGATGCTCTGTAAGGATGTGATCGGTCACCTCTCTCCATCCGCAGGCTGCTAACAGATGATTGTGGATGCAGGAATTGAACACTGACATCCACAGAAAAAGGAAGAATGAATGGAGAGTGGATTATTTTTGCATGATAGCGATGGAATATTGAGGATTCTGGCTGTTTTTTTGCCCTGGAATTGCATTTTTTTTTCTCAATTCACCTAGCTGCATTCATGTGAATTGAATATTTTTTCCAGTAGGCATGGATTGAGGATTGCAACGTTCACTGGGTAGTGTAGCATGCTAATTTTCTTAATTATTTCTCTGTGTATGTGTGTGTGTGATGATGAAAATTGGCTAATAATGACACCCAGATGGACCGACTCAGCAGTACTTGTATGCTGGCCTCACAGTATGTGTGTGTGTGCTTGGATGTTCCGCCTTATTGTCAGGATACATGTCAGTTTGTCCAGCAGGACTTTTTGCTGAAAATGCTGCATTTACACAAACATACACTAGCTTAATTAGCTGCTACATATGGCACAGCCTGTGGAATAAATGGCAGGATTTTCCCGTACACACACATGCACACGCATGCACACACACACTAATGCAGGGCCAAGGTTGCCATGGCAATCACAAAGGTCTCTAATAATCATCACTGTTGACAAATGATGACTGCAGACACACGAGCAGTTGGTAGCAAGGTTGTAACCTTTCCTAGCTTTGCTTTAGATTTTTTTTTTCAGGTGTGAATGCCAACAAAAACACTAAAGGCCTGCAGTTTTCTGATCATTTTGACACAGCTTATCCTACATGTATACATTTAAGTGGTTGTATTAGTGATCAAGGCTCCTGCCAGAAAATGGGAGCTTTAAACGACACTCTTTTAGACAGGCAGCGTTTTCCTGGAAATCTTACAGGTGGACTCACAATTATTTTATTTAGGTTACTCCACATGAAATCTGCATCAAGGCGAAGGCAATGCTGCTGGAGAGACAAGCGACCTCGACCTCTGGGAAATACAGTGCAGGGACACTGATGTGAAAGTTGTGACTTATTTGAGGATTGCCGGTTATTCTTACAGTATTAACTAAAAAGAATGATAGGTGATAAATAAAAATACAATGGCAATACAATGCAAGGAGATACCAATATAATTTTGCAGGGCAATATCCTCCATAAACCCGACTATGATCGTCTCACACAGTTTGACCTGCTGTCCAGGCTTTTGCAAACCTTTCCCTCTCCTTGTCTCACATACACACACACACACAGAAAAGTGGTTTCCGTGGTGATAACAGTGTGTGCCTCTCTCCTGCAGCGTTGCAGCATCAGGAGTGGGTTTCATCCTGGTCATCGACAGACGGCTGGACCGATGGGCCGCCGTCAGGGCCACCCTGCTCCGCATCGCAGTGAGTCCCTCTTTGTTTGCATCCACAATATTTGTATGTTTGCTTATGGTGAGAGAGGAGGGAGACTGTGCAAGGTTTCTGCTCAGCTTGTTTGTGTGCCTCAGCTGCTGATGAAATACATCTGACGACTGCAAATAGCTGTTTTGGAGTGTGTGCATTACCCTGCATGTGCTAATGCTTGTTTTAACACAGATCTGTGGGCGTAGTTGCTGCTGTCAGCTGTCTGTGGGTATAATTTGGTTTGTCACCACTTAGAATAATAGATGTTTTGTTTTTTTTGTACGTACAGCATGTGCGTGTTGTACTTGGCCAGAGATAGAAAGGACGTTCAGCGGGAATTAGCCAAGGATGTTGAAATGAAGTAGGAGAGTTAAAAATAAGGTATTATGTTAGAGTGGGTGGTGGAGTCTCACAACATGCTCAAGGTGTTTGTGTGTGTGCTATGAGATGGAGCAGAAATAGAAAGTCCACAACGTGTTAGCCATCGTTTTGTAATTGTTTTTTTTTACCATCAGCCCGGTGTCCCATTAGCCTACTGGCCTACTTCTTAGACGGAGCAAAAGTTTCGCTTCTCTCTAACACGAAAAATTGAACAGGGAGTGCAAGAGTGAGGAAGGCAGCAGCAGAGAAGAGACCAGGGAAGTGCTTTAAAAGAGAAAGAGAGGGAAGACGGCAAAGGAGTAGCAGAGTCGAGAGATTGCGTTGGACGGATTTAATACTACTACGATTACTAAAAATAATAATAAATTGTCAGGATGAGAGTCGCAGATTCTGACAGAATCTTGGCAGGTTCATTTGTGCTAAATTTTAGTTTGAGAAGAGAAAAGCAGCAGTTTTTAATCACAGTCCAATCGACAAAATGTAACAAGCTTCAGAAATATTTTGTGCTTTATATTTCTAATTATACCTCGTTCATTTTATCAAAATGCCAAAGATTTGATGATTTCGGCTTTGCACAAGTGAGGATATGATGGTTTTCTTTCCCATAGATGCTACAGTATTGAGTATCCTAATATGTTAATATGAGACAGTTGGATGTCATCTAGAAATGTGCGAGATTGTTACTGTTTTGGGACATTTTATTGATAAAAAAATAAACAAATTAGAAAATAATCTGCAAATTAACAAATCAAAAATATCTTTTTGCAGCCTCATTGGGAAGTTAGTTGTATATATTCATTTACAACTTGGCTTTGAGACCTGGCTATTTCTGAATACCAGCCTTTTTTTGAGCATTTACTGTTTGAAGAGTTCTAAATGGTGCTTCAAAAGTTTTAGAACAGTTTCTCTCTTTGGAACAATACAACACCATGCATCACTATGGCTTTCCACTACTTCATTCATCACATATTTGGCTTTCTCTTGATTTTTTAATTGTTTTGTATGAATCTTATTATCCAACACCACGACAATAAAGCTTCATCACACCCTACACATCTGTCGTTAGGATACACATCCTGTGTTACACCATTTTAACAATGTATGCAAATACATGCTAATATATGCTAATTGGACACTGATTGTCATCAGGCCTGATGGTTTTTCTAAGAAACTATCCCCAGTGTGGCAATAAGTCATTATGAAGCTTCTTGGTTTAGAGCTCCAGCAGGTTAGTCTGACCTGCACACAGAAACATGTGCACACTCAGGACATTCCCTCAGCAGTAATAATGAACCGTTTCAACATAATTATCCTTTTCCAGACCACTGGCCCAGACAGATCATGACTTTGAAAGAGAGGTTTTACTGATAGCAAGGAACCAATTAGCAGCTAGCTTTCTGCTTTAACTGGTGTTACTGCTAAGTCGCAAGAAAATGTGAGCAAAAGGAAACCGAGATAAATGGAAAGAGATCAATTTTTTTTCATGTTAAATTCATTTGGAATAAACATCTGTATTGGTCCAGGACACATCACTGAACTAAAAACCAGTATTTTACTTAGTGACTGACAATATAGTGTCATTTGGTCAATGTTAATATAAAATCTGAGGCCATTAGAAGAGTAGATCAGCTCTATTATCTCAGTAATCCTTGTGCGGGTTGAATGATGGAGCTCGAGCAGCTGGTTGGCTTATTTTAGCACAAAGACTGGAAAAAGGGGCAAACAGTGAGCTCGTTTCCCCTTTGTTTCCCCCCGCGTTTGACAAAATCCACCTACCAGCACATGTAAAGCTCACTAATTACCACGTTATACCTTGTTTCTTTGTATTTATTGGCTGGGTGCAGAGACTTCTCAGTGTTCTTTTTACACTTCATACCCAAACAGATGGACACCACCACTACTTTTACTATCAACTATGCATCTGTAGGCTTCAACACTTGACTGAATATCAGATGGTTGTTCCAAAGTGCAGAACTAAAACCTTTGTGCCACTGAACCTGAGCACCTGAGAGCAACTAGAAGTGTTGAAATTTTTAAACATACATTTACTTCAGACTAGCTTTAGATTAAATGTGTTAGATCGGCATTTCTTGCTCTATTTTCTTGTTTTTAGGCTGTTACATTTTATTTTAATTTGCCTTTTTAATCTATTCTTATGTGTTTTACATCTTTTTTATATATATTCTATTTTTATGCTTTGTCTTTTATTCTAACTTTGTCTCAGTTTTGTCTTTTTTCTTTTTATATCTCCAATATTGTATTTATTTCCCTATTTCATGTGGCTTTATTTCTCTCTCTTCTTGTTCTATCTAAATATCGGCCCATCACTGATCTGGGAAGCACTTTCAATTTCACGAAGCCGCATGAAAGGTGCTGTACAAATAAGGTTTGATCGACTGATTGATGTGTTTTCATTTCGGCTCGAGGCTTGCAATTTGTGCTCACTCTTTGCCCTCATTCAATTAAACCGACAAAAGATAAAAATAACAGTGATGAAGCCCAGATGACGTATGTCTCGCGCTGAAACCCCGTAATTTAGAGCGGTAGTGGAGTTTATCAGCGTGGCAGCAGAAGCTTCTCTGCAGGATCTCCCCTCCTCCCTTTACCTCTATCTCTCATTACCTCTCTCTTTCCTCTTGTTCTGCTTTTGTGTTTTCTGCTGTCTCTCTGCCCCCTGGAGTCATCTTCTTCACTTTGACAAGGAATATTTGAACCGGGAAAGCTGCAGTGTGTATTTTCACTTTGCAGCTACCGCGTGTGTTGGGATGTTTGTTTACATTTTTGTTGTCTGCACGGAAAAAAAGTGATCTAATGGTGTGACAGGTGTAAACAAAGAAGACAATGGAGGACATGATTATTGGCTCCTGTTGGCTAAAAAAGCAGCGTCTCTGTGCTCCACAGCTGTTGATAATCGAGTCAGATGTAGAGTCGCCTTTGCTTTGCTTGAAGAGTTTTTAGAGGCTGTTGAATCTGTTGGAAGTGTTTAGTCGACACTAATTCTCCTAACATGTGACTGCTGTAGTGATTAATGAGTGTCAAGGTGCAAATGCAACATGTAAAACAACACAGAAGAAGCGAGAACCAGGTAGAATAAAGTAGAAAACAAAATGAAAACCAGCAGATTCAGCTCGCAAACACGCACCAAGTGCTTTAAATGGTGCTGCATGTCGGGAGAGTAGAATATAAAGGGTGTGAATTTCACAGTGGAAGCTGTAAAACCTAACCTGAAGGCATGAAGACCAGGTGGTGTGATCTCCTCCTCAGTCCCCTCACTTCGATGCCCTATGGCGGACGTCCTTGTTGGGCACGCCTGCTTTGTCCACCGGCGAATGACACTCAGTCTTACTGGAGAGTGAAGGTCGTACATCTTCCCGTGAGATGCTGTTTTCATCAAGGCCGTTCAAGGTCGCCTGCTGCCATTAGCTGGTTCCCTGGTGGAAAAAAAAGAAATAGTAGGAGTGGGCAGTATTGTCATGTAAAGCCAGAGATTAGTGCACAAATGCTCTCACAGTGCTATATTACAATCTACAGATGGCACTGACCGCTGCTTTATTGTCTCATGTGCAGCATTGGGCTATAAATAACAATATAGAGTGTGATTTTCTAGCCTTGGAAAATAAAATACATTGAGCTCCTTTTGTAATTTGTGCAGAGAAATGTATTGGCACTCAGATAACGCAACTCTTTCCTGCACAAGAGAGCATAACTCCTGCATTCTCATTAGTTATTTCTCATGTTAAAGGCGTCAGTTGTCCTCATGTTTTGGTTGCTTGTTATTTTTCCCTGATGCTTCAGCGACAATCATCCGCATTTATCAATCAAATTCCAGCATTTTTTTGTGAGGTTAAACTGGGTGAATCCTTGCGCACTCCAGTCAACAGATGATGATGGGACACCTTCGTCTCTGTTGCGGCCCGTCTTTGTAATTCAGGGTAATAAATATACAGTCACTCAAGCGTACAGGAACATTGCTGCAGGGCGAAGATGCAGATGGCTCTGTCAGCCGGTGCCAACAAGAGGCTCGAATTAGTTGCAACAAATCATCAGCTTAAAATATCAGCTTAAAAGCAGCTATAGTGCAGCGTTTCAACTGAATCTCTTTGTCACAATTGGGATGGTTTTCATGTTCAAAAGCTGTGATACAGACAGACGGACAGACGGACAGAAGGGGGTTTTTAGGGAGGTGGTGGTTTAATATTGTGGCTCTCCAACTCCCACGAGGACAATGTGGATGTCATTAGAGGACATGAGTGGAGTGGGTTCTCGCCTTCCACCCATCCTTCCTCACTGAAGGAATATAAATCACCCTGGTCACCAGAAAATGATATTCTAATCCTTATCATTTATTGATGCGTGCTTTTTATCTGTAAGAAGTGTGTGTGCATGCTTCACTTTAGTGTGCGCATTAGCATATCTGTGTTCATGCGTCAGGGGGACGCACTGAGCAGCACGTGTATTGTCATGTTAATGCAGAGCTACAAATTACACCAGGACCTCTCAGGGTTTATTGAATTTAATGACTTCCAATTACAGACATATTGCTTACTTCTACACTTTCTGCTGGTTTTTGGCAGACATGACACCATCCTAAAATCCTGGCTTCTCTTCATTGTTTGGTTTAGAATTGATTTTAAGATTTTTACTGATCACTTTTAAATCACATCTGGCTGTGGCCCCCGAGCTACATATTGGGAATGTTGGCCGCATATGAGCCAGATTGCAGCTGGAGATCCTCAGGTGGGGCCCTTCTGGCTGTTGAGGCTTAAATCTAAAGATGAGCGGGTTTCTGTCATCGGGGCCCCTGAGGAGAAAAATCTCATGAATTCTTTAAAATCACTCATTAAAATCCATTTTTATAGATTTATTTGGTGTCCTCTTAAAGGTTTTCATTGCTTTTATTATTTTATTTTTATCTATTTATATTGACATTGAATTGACCATGTTTTTCATGGCTTTGTTTGGTCCTTCCAGCTCTCTGTATTTGCTTTGTCCGTCAAAGCACTTTTAAACTCATAGTAAAATGTTGCTATTATTATTATCATCACTACAATCAGCGTCATATCGTTATTATTAGTCTGGGCTGACTGTGTTTTGGATGACGTGTCATTAGTGGAGGAGCCAGCACAACAAGAAAACACTGAATTTGGCTAAATTACAACTATTCTACTCTATCTTTAATCTTTAAAATGTATTATCTGCAGATTTTGTGTGCTGTAATAAGAGCAGCAAGTGCCGTAAAGAGGGCTCGTAGCGTTGTTTAAAAATAAAGACCCGTTTGGGTGGAGAATTGAAAGAACCCATGTAGAAACCTGGCTGTCTTTCATCAACCTCACAGCAGGCAGGATGTGTGTTTGTGTGTTTGAGCCAAAAATAAATGAGTGGAAAAGCAGAGTGGAGCTGGAGCAGCACTAGAAACACTTTTAGAAGACTCCTCTACATGGATAGACATCAAGCTACTCTCTGTCACTCTATACCTCCTCTATAAAATTGTCTCTGTCTGTACCATCACTCTCTGTTGCATTCCGTCATGCACTCTCTCTCTCTCTCTCTCTCTCTTTCTCCCTCTCTTTCCGAGGAAAACGGTTTCCATGGCAACGCCGTGCAGGCATTTCATGACTATGATGTATGCGTGTGTGCGCCCCTGCATGAGCGCATCCTCCTTGTCGACTAAATTAAACCCATGTACTGCATTTTTGCAAATCATTTATTTATCAGGGCGCCGGTAGTGCCGGCGTTTTTTTTATGGGATGTTGTCGGCAATTCTAATGAATATGGCATAAGTGGCACCATTTTGTGGAGAATGGATCGTGAGCACCGGTTATTGTGGTGTTTCCTCACACATGTGCTAAAATTAGCTTCTAAACGTATGAAACCATCCCTGGAAATAGGCCGAAGATGTCATAAATAACAGTTTAATGGTTGTTTGCATGAGCAGCACGAGTCTGTAAAGGACAGTAGATAGAAAAGCTGCTCACAAGCAGAAATGCCAGGAGTGCCTGTTTCATTCTAGAGTAAACAAGAAAACAGAACAAAATGCATCAGCCTTCTTTTTCTATTTACTTCAAAATGTCCTAAATATTCTCTTACATCATATTTTCTACTCTTTATGGCAACTCTAAAAATGTCTCAAGCTCTCCAATACATCTTTCCCTCTGGTCCTGCATAAGTGTCACCCCTCATAGATTTATGATGTCTAACAGGGTGGAGCAATTCACTCAGCGATTTAGAGGAAGCCATAACCAGCGTAGCCTTCAAGCCGAGTGGCCTCCAGGGCTGTTGTCTGTGTAAAAGGCAATTCTACGTTTTTTTGAACCTGTTAGCGTGGAGGCGGAAAGACAAAAGCGACGGTTGATCCCAAAGTCACAAGGCTAATAAAATTAGTCGCAGCTTTCCAGGTGGGAGCCGTAACAAGGGAGCTACTGTGACGATGAAACGTGGGAGATTTATTGGGGGTTGAATCATAGATGAAAAACCTCTTCATGGTTCGATTGCACCGGTGGGAAGGTGGTTACAGATGTGAGCTCTGTTCACACTCAGAAGCCACGCTGTTAAACCAAAGCTTTCCGTTTGTTTACTGATAGATGATTTTGTTTTCCGTGGTGTAAACCTGATGTACCACATTTATCTACAGTGATTCAAATCTGATTTAGGGCACAAATAAGGTAGAGCCACTGTCCTGAATAAAAAATATTAGAAGAAGCAGTGAAAAAAGGACAACAATAAACATCTGCTGAGCTGAAATTGAACTTGGGTTGTTGTGTTGATGTTTAACATTATCCATCTGAAACTAGGATCTATACTCCAAGGATTTGCAAACGCAGTAACACTAAATAATGCACTTAAAACGTAATAGAATTTGCACTTAACCTGATTAAAAATGTAACAACACCTAATAAGGTAATAACTTAAGCCAACAATATAATAAAATGTTGTCAATTTGATACTGAAATCGCCAAAATAACACTTTATACCCAAGTGGAACAAGCATTAATGACTGGTTATTTATGTTAATGTCAGGTGTAAGCAGTGCATCTGTAGGCGTTATGGCTTTTTATGTGTACTCTGTTAAAATAAAGTGTTGTAAACAGTTGTTTTGTTGGATTTCGGTTGTTTTCATGAGACATGTGAAGGTTTAGGTAACAGTTCTGGGTTTCTGTGTGCTGCTCCGAATCCTTTCTGACCTGAAAATCTCAATCTTTAAATAGTAGTTTCCCAAATAGTTAATCCATCATTGAGTCAGAAAGATTTTCGTTGCATATCCTTGAGTTTCTGTCCATGTGCATATGGCTGTATGGTGCTCAGTCTGCACTTTAACTCAATATTCATTCTTTCATTCCAAACCAATCTATATTTAATTCTTTAAACACAAAATGTGGACTGAAAATGAACACGGTATTACATTATCCATGAAAAGTATTACATTATTAGCTAAAAAAAAGAAAAAGAAGACGACCAACCTAAAAAGGTATTACATTACTGCTTAAAAAAAAAAAAAAAAAGCTATTACAATGTCACTGAGAGCACTTTATTACAATATCAGTCAAGCTAACTTCAAATTTTATTAACTTTTCAGTAAATTATTACAACTTTCGGTGCTACAGCTCCCTGTAACATGACAAATAGCTCCCCTGAAAACACGATTGGTGAATTTTGGGGGGTCCCTCAAATACTGAGAATGAACTTTAGCCTTGCATTTCTGTTTTTCTGTATCTACATTATCGCGGATCATGTGCAAAGTGACGCTGCTATCAATGCATGAGGGTGATTCATCACTAATTCGCTTTAGTAGGTGGCAGACCATTATTACCAAGCAGCAACAGAAAATGAAATAGGCAGCTAATGTATGACCCACAGCACTCAGGAATACGAAGGTGTACTTATTGTACACAGGATTAGTGTTTGGCCTCTCTCGCTCTCACTCTCTATTAGCAGTGAAGTACATTATTCTTGCGCTCTTTGCTGCTCTCCACAACTCTGTGGTGCTGAAAAATACAAAGCAGCAGCTACTTTACATCTTAGTATCCATATCCTTATTAAAAGGAAGAAAAGTGAGATCTAATGCTATTCAAGTGTTGACCATGGAAACCATAGTTCTCACATATTTAGAAGTACTGAGGTTTTGGTTTGCTGCTTGTGGCTTTCATGGAAAAGATGTGTTTTTGTCTTGTTTGGTTATAAAACAGACCAGTCTGTAGACTTACAGTTATATTATTTGATATTTTCCTCACCCCTTTGTTTAAAAAAGTGTTTCTATCATTAATCCCCATCCTGGCAGATAATTTCCCCCCATCTGACACCCTCTAAAAGAAGATCCATATAGCAACAGCCTGATCAACAGTTTTCTCTCCCCATTCTGTCTCTCCCAGGGTTCATTTCCAGGGAACTTACACTTGGTTCTGGTGTTGCGTCCCTCTACTTTGTTCCAGCGGACTCTGTCGGACTTCCTGTTCAAGTTCAACAAGGATGAGTTCAAAATGAAGGTGCCACTATGACTTGCACTCTGCATGTGTCACACTTAATATCGCTCTACATAATTCATGCTGATTATTTGTGAGTCATTGGAAGCATTATTCCAGTCAGTCGGTAGAGCTGCCTGTAGAGCTCTGCAAGATGTGTTCTGTTTCAACTTGTATTTTATTAGCTCCTTTATTTATTGTTTTCATCCAATATGATTTAATTCAATGTAATATTTCCTATCAGGTGGTGATGCTGAGTTCGGTGACTGAGCTCCATGCGTATATTGACCCTGGACAACTGACCACAGAGCTGGGAGGCACACAGGAATACTGCCATGACAGCTGGATCTCACACCGCACTGTATGTACACATGCTTTTATATTTTCTGTTCATTTAACTAGAGATTCTCACATTTTTTTGCACTTCTGCTGATATATACATACCTTGTCCTCCACAGGCCATTGAGGCTTTTGCCCTGATGGTGAAGACCACTGCTCAGACGCTGCAGGCGTTCGGCACCGAGCTTGCAGAGACAGAATTACCCAACGATGCCGAGGCCACCACCAACCTGCTGCACGTACACACTCTGAAGAAAGATAAAATGAAGGTCAGACATGCTTCTAGTGTGTCCCTCACAGTGTTCCTAGTTGCCCACAAGGTTTAGTGTTTAAGAAAAATATGTGTTCAATTTCCAGGAGGACCTGCAAGTGGCACTGTCTCAAGGAGGACGCCTACTGGAGTGCATCAATGAGCCTCTGCAGACAGATCCTGAGTACAGCATGACGCATGATGAACTGGAAAACTTAGCTACTGTACAGAGGTAGAGGAGAACATAGGAGGATACATAATTGGAGAATGAAGTTGCCCCTGAATGCATCACTGACTAATCTCCTCTTTTTTTATATTTTCCTCTTCAGACTCCTGGGTCAGCTGGATGAAACAGAGATGGCGTTCGATGACTTCTGGGAGCGTCACCACACTAAACTAGAGCAGTGTTTGCAGCTGCGCCATTTTGAACGGCACTTCCGTGAAGTGAGTTTAATCACAGGAAATGTAGTAGTAGTTTTTTTCTCCCCTCATATCTAAAAATGAAAGTGCAAATATTGCTTGTTTTCTCATAGGTGCGTGCCCAGCTTGACGTGACATCGGAGCGGCTGTCAGGTTTCTCTGAGGTCAGCGTAAGCCCCGCCCACGCCGAGCACGTCCTCAGAGAGCTCAGCATTCACGAGGACAAAGCCTGTGTAAGACACACACATGTACACAGTCCCTGTTCACCCTGCAGCTCACGTGGCTCAGAAAACACATGCTCAACACTTTCACCTTTGATGCATCCTTGAGGCCTTTTGGCTAATCATATAATCGATGCCCTCATCCATCCTCAGTCATGATGAAAATACATGTGAGGTTCACAAATTAGATTTTTTGATGAGAAAACTGTACGATTGAAAGATGCTGCTTGTATTATGACACAGAAAATTCGGTCTGAAATGCAGTATAGATTGATATGTCTTCAGAGGAGGTCCAGAGAAGTCGACTGATTTGTATAATGTAGGTGTCCCACTCAATCCAGCATTAAGTAATGGACACTCCACTTAGCGTACAGTAGAGGGGGAGGACTGAGGAGGAGGAAAGAGATTGCTTTTTTTACTGACAGCCATTGATTGATGATGTTTTTCCTGGTGCTTTCTGCCAAGCTGGTATACTTTATGTACCCTCACTTAAATTACAACTATGTTATGACATTTTAACTTCTACAGGACGTGCTAGACCTTGCTCTGTCCCTGGCCAGTGAAGGTGACAGGCTGATTGAAAACTCCCACTATGCCGAGGACTCCATCAGGCCAAAGTGCAGCGAGCTGAGAGGAGTGTGCGAGGAGATCAGCTCCACTCTGAGGAGCAAGAAGAGCCTCCTGCTCAGAGCTTTGGAGCTCCACCATGCTCTGGAGAAGGTAGGAGTCAGGCTGGGTTTGACGTTTTTCCCTACACATCATGTATCCTCTGCATGCTCACAAGTGTTTCCCCCACAGGCATCACGGTGGTGTGAGGACGGCATCTTCCTGCTGGCCAGTCAGCCAGTGGACCGCTGTCAGTCTCAGGATGGAGCTGAAGCGGCTCTGCAAGAGCTGGAGCGATACCTGGATACGGCAGCGCTGCACACCCTCGCTGACCGCGGCGCCATCTGCTGCCAGTATGAGGCGGTGCTCAACGCTCAGCTCAGGGTCAGCAAGAAGTGCACTCAACAGAATAAATACAACCTTATCAGACAATTTAATCAGTTTGTGTTACCTTATAATGCCTCCAACTGCAGTTCAGGTTGCTCTTTGTTGTAACACATCTTTGTTCTCCATCCTCCATCAGGACCAGGTAGAGAAAGTATTCCAGAAACAAAGCTCTGTCCAGGAGATGTTTGAGAAAAGACGCGTCAGCCTGAAGAAACTTGCTGCCAAACAGACTAGACCAGTCCAGCCAGTAGCTCCAAGGCCTGAAGTCAAGTCTCCACAATCTTCTCCCAGTACGTCTGCATGGATCTGTAATTGATTTAGGGATGTATCAGAAAGGTCAAGACTTGATACCTTTTTTGTGGTGCACACTAAGAATGATAAGACACTGAACATAGTTTTCTCTTTCCAGATCAAGAGAGAAAAGAAAGGAGATACTCTGCAGATAACGTTATCTGTAAAAAGGTACTTTCTAAGGCTTTTTCAACAATTTATTCTGTTTCTTTTCAGTTGTTTGCTCATAAAGTTTAATTGTAACTTAAAAACTGGTGTTTATCAAAGTTAAGTGATACAGGTGTAAATATTTAATATGTTGAGCATACTGTATATGTTTACAGGTAGAGTCTCCCATACATAATGGTGGCACGAGACATGCTTCGCTTTCAGAAGAAGAAGAAAACCTGGCAGTGCTTCGGCGGTATGAGTCATCCCCAGAACTATTTCTTAAATAAGCTGACATCAAGATAGAAAGATATGGCAGCATTCAGGCTAATTCTGATAACTGAAAGCTTAGTTTGTATCTTGTTTGTGCGTTTTTCAGTCACGTGATGAACGAGCTGCTGGAGACGGAGAGAGCATATGTGGAGGAGCTGCTGTGTGTGCTGGAGGTGAGTGTTGCTGCTGACTTCTAGTCCAGGGAAGGCAGGCAGAGAAGTAGTCTACACATCGTCTATCCCAGCATTCATTGAGGACAAAGGTGAGGAAATGAAAAGTTTTACTAATCTGCAATATTAACCTCCAGGGCTATGGAGCAGAGATGGAGAACCCTGCCATGGCTCACCTCATCCCCAGCACCCTGCACAGCAAGAAGGACATTCTGTTTGGCAACATGTCTGAAATCTACCAGTTTCATAAGAGGTACTTCAGTTGTATTTTTATTTTTCAGTTGTTTTTTTTTGTATGTCCTTCATTGTCTGAGCATTTGTGTTTTGTTGTTTGCCTCCAGAACATTTTTAAAGGAACTTGAAACGTACACTGACTGCCCAGAATTAGTGGGCCGCTGCTTTTTAGAGAGGGTAAGCACTGCTTCCAAACATTGCTTTCTACATCATGGTTTGTAATTAGAACTTATAAAGAGCCAATAAAAAGAATGTAATCTCAAAATCTCCTCGACACTTGAACCAACCTGTTAATGTCTCTTTTGTTTCCCCTGCAGATGAAGGACCTGCAGATCTACGAGGCGTACTGCCAGAATAAACCTCGCTCTGAGAGCTTGTGGAGACAGTGCTCCGACTGTGCCTTCTTCCAGGTTAGCCTCATACCGACAACAATATGTGACTTACAGGAACAATACATTGTAAATATCTAAATTGGTTCATGTTTTGTTACTAGGAGTGCCAGAAGAAGCTGGAACATAAACTTGGTTTGGACTCCTACCTCCTTAAACCCGTCCAGAGAATCACCAAGTACCAGCTACTGCTCAAGGTGAGCATTGTTCATGTATTGCATGCACACATATAGAAATCTGTTCTGTGAGACAGGGAAGACTCACTTTTTGCCCTATCCTCTGCTTTGATGTTTGCAGGAGTTGTTGAAGTACAGTAAAGGCTGTGATGGCTGTGATGACCTACAAGAAGCTCTCTCCTCCATCCTGGGGATCCTGAAAGCTGTAAACGACTCCATGCATCTCATTGCCATCACAGGATACGAGGTCAGAGAAATTAGAGCGTGTAGCTTTTCCTGACATAAAGCTTGTTGGACCAAAATGCACATTAATTTATATATATATTCTACAGCTACACAGTGATATAGTCTCTATGTAGAAAGGCCTGTGCAGTGTAACGTAACATAACAGCCACAGGTACATTTGCAATTCCAAACCATAAATACGCATCGACTTTTTTCTTCTTTTAGGGGAACCTGTCCGAGCTGGGTCGTCTGCTGATGCAGGGCTCCTTCAGCGTGTGGACGGAGCATAAGAAAGGTCACGCCAAGGTCAAGGACCTGGCCAGGTTTAAGCCCATGCAGAGGCACCTGTTCCTGCACGAGAAGGCCCTGCTCTTCTGTAAGAGGCGAGAGGAGAACGGGGAGGGCTACGAGAAAGCTCCATCTTACAGCTTCAAACACTCGCTCAGTGTAAGTTCACTATTTAAAGATAGCTGACAGTCGTACAAGGTCCCTTGAATAGGCACGTTTCTGATCTTTCTCCTTTTCTTTTTTCTTTCAGATGAGTGCAGTGGGTATTACAGAGAACGCTAAAGGAGACAACAAGAAGTTTGAGATTTGGTGCAACTCCAGAGAAGAAGTTTTTATAGTCCAGGTAACACCCCTCAGTCTTATTGTTATAAATAACCCTCCTCTATAGCTGGAAACGAAGCAAAAAAAAATAATGATTGTTGCTATTTTTTTTCTATCTAGGCTCCAACAGCAGAGATTAAAACAGCGTGGGTGAACGAGATCCGCAAAGTTTTGACCCAGCAGCTCAAAGCCTGCAGAGGTATTATAAAAACATAGAGACTTCTTCTGTCTTTTGCTCAGCCTCCCTGCTAGTCACTGCAATAAACTGTTGTGTGTTTTAGATGCCAGCCAGCAGAAGAGTTCAGACTCTGTTTCCCCAGTTCCCACCAGCAACAACACCTCCATCTCCCTCAGGTTACTGTCATATATTTCATAGAGGGCCATCAGAGGTCGGGACAACGTGCGTTTGTTGTAATGTTTTCTGCTTCTGGTGTTTTCCAGTCCCTTCCGTAGCAGCAGTCAAAAGAACCAGAGGAAGCAAGAGGATAAAAAGGCAGAGCCGAGTCCAACCTCTGACGCCATCTCCTTTTCCTCCCCGAAACACAAAGGTGAATAAAATTAATGCAGCATCCTCAAACACAGGCGTATTAATCAGTTACGGCTGCAGAGTTTAAAAATTTGATCAATGCCAAACTCTTCCTAACGTGGACTCCTCTTTTCTTCATCACCGTCATCTCCATGCGTCCTCGCTCTCTCCTTCTCTCTGTCTTTTCATGACTGTGCTACTCTCTTTTCCCCGTCTTCTCATTTCAAACCATCGCCTCCAGATGAACCAGTGACCAGTCCCACCACTGACAGGTCCTCAGTGGCTAAAAAGCGTTTTACTTTGCAGGGCTTCAGCAATCTCAAGAGTCCGAAAGGTAACATAGGCTCACAATGCTTAGAACAAACTCGGTGGTGGTATTTTTTATGACTATACTCCTAATGGGCTTCTGTTAAACTACATTTCAGCCAGTAGTTGATAATTAATCGCCCCTCACTCCCAGTCTAACCAGATTTAAGGCCTGATTGAGCGCATATGATCCTGGTTTTTAAGTTGGAGATAGCCTGCCCCCTGGTGGTAAAAATGCGGCATTGCCACCACCTCAGGAACACATCTATAGCAACTGAAACGTTTACTGTATCCTGCACACCCACTGTGCAGTTTCAGTTCTATTTAAGGCTGAATATTAAGTAAAGATTAATTAATTTTTTATTTAGAATTCCCACTAAGGTTTTATCTATGGAGGTGTTATTGGAGCAAATCTCTTTGCAGTAGATTCCATCGTTATAGATGCGAATGCATGGTTGTGCCATAAATAAATGAAAATAAAAAAGTATTTCTGGGAAAATATTCTACACATACAGATTTGGATATATGCAAATTTTCTCCTTGACTTCACATTCCTTGAAACAGGTGCATGAATGTCTCTTTTGCACCACATTCATTCCAGCAACTTTTTTTCCTGCAATGTCAGATTTATTGATACACACGTTACTCTTTTCTACAATTACTCATTATATTGTCACAAGTTCTCAGTTGTTTTGCTCCAATAATACCTTCATGTTTATTAGGATATGTGTAAAGGTGGTCGAACACAACTTTTTTGATTTCAAAGGCTTGCATAAATGATCAATATGTAATTTGACATTTCGTGTTTTTTGGCTGTTTTGGATTGAAGACTGGGGGTCAAAGTTAGCTCTTCCTCTCTCACTTTTCTCCTCTCCTTCCTTCTCTTCACTCCTTCCCTCCTGTGTGCCCAGGCTCAGCTCTGAGCCCTGAGCACAGCTCCAAACGCCACTTGGTCAAGAGTGACCCCACACCATTTGGGTTTAAAGGTATATTTTTGTCCTAGTATATACAGAGGCCATCATTCATTCGTCCGTCCCTCATCATTAGACTGTACTCAGTCTTGTATGCATGTAGATTTCACTCCATATAGAAAAATGAAATTGGGTATAAAATTGTTCAGGATAAAAGCTGTTCATCACTTTGTTTACTATGTTTTACATGTGTGATAAATGTGTGCTCAGACAGACCATCTGCAGATCCAGTCTTTAAATCAGTGATGTAAAGAGCTTAAAATGTAATCATGATGAAAATCATCATTATTATGTATTTAATTAGGATTCTTTAATCCGGTGCAATCTGAATCCAATCTATATACATTTAGACTAATGAAATGTTTGGCTTTCTGAAGCATGCAGCTGCTCTGTGACATATTTTTTTCCACAATCACTGTCATGTCTACGACAACATTTTAACCTTCATCCACAGGTTATTGTCATTATCATGTGTGAATTACAAATTTTGTGTTTTGTGAAGATGCTCTGTCCATTTGATTAACTGACCACCTGTCTGGGTGCTTCACTCACCCGTTCTCCCCATCGGAGTGAAGAATCTTTGTGTATTTTTAACCGAGTGTGGTCACATTTTCTTCAAGGACAAAATGAAATTCTGAAATCCAACTCTGACCGTTCAGCCGTGTACGTTCGCGGCTGGCCCTCACTGATTCGCTGGCCGTTTGTTCCCCCTCTAGAGCCGGCTCCCCACATCACTCTGAGCAGAGTCAAATGGATGAGCACATCTAGTCTGTTACAGAGCAAACGGCGAGGTACAGAGCTGCTCTGAGGATCAGTCACAGTGGGTGTTTGCTGGGGTTTGTGATGGTCATGATTGATTTTACCAGAGGTAAAGTGCAGCAAAATACCCCTTTTACCAGTCATTTAGCCTTGTATTGAGTCCTATAATCTTATTGTACATTGGGGTGAGATATTTAAGCTGGCAATCACCTGAAAGGCAGTTCTACTCATTGAACTTTAAAATCTAAGATTTTAAGTCTCAATTTTCGGCTAAATGACGATATTTTTGCGAGATACATGCTCTACCTCAAATCAATCATTCTCTCTTCTCTACTATCGGGTGGTTTGGGTTGATGTGTAGCGTGCAGAATACTGACACTGCTTCAACGGCTTCAGCACCAGCAGCCTCAGAATTAATCCAGATGATTCAAATCTCTCATCAAAAGTCCTTGATTTTCTATCAGTGTGCTTCTTTCACTGGGATCTGTCGACACTGATCTTCTGTTGGAGTTTGGGCTGACCTTTGCGCCTTTGAGTGTGTGTAAATGGATCGATTTGTAGTGTTTTGACAGAATCGATTGTGTGGTTTTGTGCTCCTCATGGGAGATTTATGTATGACTGTGATCATCCACGTTGCAAAGTCCATTTCTATCTATTTTGTCACATCAAATTAGTGATCCAGGAAGCATGGAGTGATGGAGTGAGAGTGAGTGTGATTCAAATCCCTCCTTTGCCTTGTCTCTAATCATCTGTGTTACCCTCCGTCTCTCCTGTTCTTCTTTACCTTTCCTTTCCTGCTGCAGGCTGGAACAAAGCATCTCTCTCCGTGGACGCCTCAGAAGAGAACGACGGATACTCCAGCGGCGAGGACCCCATGAACTCTGACACCGAGGATGAAGTCGGGAAGAAGCTGGTGAGCCTGAACATGAAGATTTTTTGTATATATTACAGCAACTCTTTTCTAAGATTCTGCTATATTTAGCTATACAGTTACAGTCTGGTTGTAAAAGTTGCTAAAAAAAAGTGATGATTGGTTGCATGTTTGACAAGATGTTGGCAATAATCATTAGGAAAATAAATTTACTTCTAATAATGGTCAAAATACCTGCATTTGCCGTCCTGACTCTTCTGACTTCTGTGATTTTTGTCTGTGTAAAGGCTCCAGGAAAGTACACAGTGGTGGCAGACTGTGAGAAGACGGGACCTCAGGAGCTGTCTGTCAAGAGCGGAGATGTGGTCCAGCTAATCAGAGAAGGAGAGGAGGGACAGTGGTAAACATCTTTATTCCGTCTGTCAAAATATAGATCGATGTATTAGATGCAGGTGGGGAAAAATCTGCATATTTACATGATTGTTATAGGACCAAAACACATTTCTGTTTGTTAAGAAGGTCATGAAATAACAAGAAATTCAGTCAGTGAAACCTATGCTGACATCAAGCTCCCTTACTTTAAACAGTCACCTGTGGTGGAAAGTAACTAAGTACATTTACTCAACAACCAAAGTACAATTTTGAGGTACTTTACTTGAGTATTTTAGTCACTTTTACGATGAAGACATTACTCAACTTTCAAAATACAACACACAGTGATAGATTGAATCAGATGTTTTGGCTCTTTACAGAAAGCAGTGTGTAAGCCGGGGTCATATTTCAGATATGAGCTTCACCAAATATGATTTCTCACATGGGTCCAATTCAATTAATGTCTGAATGATCCAATATCTAACCAAAAATGTCATTTTTTATAACAATAAATCAGCCACAGGAACCAATCCAGTACTTTTACTTCAATACTTTACATTTTGCTGATAATACTTTATATTAATTAGGATTTTTCATGCAGGACTTTTGCAATAGAGTATTTCTACATTGCTGTATTGGTACCTCTACTTAAGGATCTGAACACGTCTTCCAAAAAGCAACTTGCAAGTCTTATATTTCTGTCTGTATTCACTGCTGCTATGCATCCTGCTTTTAATGGGTCAAATAGATCAGTTCAGCAAAACTGTGTAATAGTTGGTGTTGGGTAAAGTTGGTTTAATCCTTTGCAGGTTTGTGAAGAACCTTCGCAGCAGTAAGGAGGGCTGGGTGGCAGCAGCAAACCTCCTCAGCCTCATCTCAGAGTCCAAGTCATCCCAATCACTCAGCAGCTCAGGTTGGTTCATTAATCAAGAAGTGCAGACATTCAGATTCATTCTACAACACATACGGTATGAATCTGATGCATCACGGTGATACTGTTACTTTTCCCCTGCAATGAAAAAGTCACGACTCTGTTTTTATTCTGGCTACAGAAGTCAACAGTCTGGCAGTACTAAACCCACCACGGTTGCTATTTTTGTGTTTGTCCTGCAGATGGCAGCGTCTCTGGGAACCTCAGCACTTCTTCCAGCTGCAGTGAGACCTACACCAGCTTCTCTGACATCAAACCCTGACCCGAGACCACTGTCCCAACACCGTCCCTCGAGCTAAAACTATTTCCAGGTGGAAAGCTAAAGCTGATCTGACAGGAGGACAGAATCAAAATGTTGCTTTTTTTCCTCATTCGCACAGAAAGCCCTCCTCAACCAACAACCGAATCAATCCCTGCGTCAACCACACCCACCTTTTCTGAGTATTCACCTTTTAGCCTCATAGCAAAAGACAAACTCTCATTTAAAATCTGTTTTAGCTTCACAAATTGCAGCATGTCAGTTGAATTTAAGTGTATTTATTTCCACAGTTCATGCCGGAGAAAGAAAATATCAGGGATCAGTCATTCCTCAGAACACAAGTTAAAGTCACCTCCTGTCAGGCCATCTTTAAAAATATAAATGTCTTCATTTAATCCTTGTGATTATGTAGCATTAGAGTGGACAATTTTAAGAATACCTGCACTAAACACGAGGCAGCGGACAAGACTGTTGGTGTCGAACCCCTTCAAGTGGACAACATCACAGCATAGCGACAGATTCTTGTGTGAAACATCCGCAGATACTATCAGACAGGTATTTCACATGATACACCGGCTTTAGTGTCAGACACTGATCGTACACTGTGAAAAGTAGCAGGCGGCTGCAACGAGAAAAAAGCTTTCAGTGCATCTTGGAGCAAAACTGAGCAGGTTGAATGTTCGGGGCATGTTGCCGTAAGCCTTTTTTGTACATGGGACGCATCCCTGTGGTGTCAAAAGTAGTTGGTTTTCTATTTTTTCCCCTTTCAAGAATGCTGTATTCCTCCCGTATTGTTACCATGAGCTTCCTTTAAGCCTGTTTTTTTTTTGTTAAAAACACAGAGTCACCAGGTGAATGTCACCAACAGCACAGCCTGGTGGTCAGATGTCTTGCACTTCTCCAACTACTCGCATTACCGTCTGTACAAATCGCTTACACAAAGAGTGGCAGCTTGGACAACTTTTGAACCTCTTCGTTTTTTTAAGAGGAATTATGTAACTTGCCTCTGAACTGCTCTGGATTTACCTCTCAGGAAGCCCAAGAAGTTACGTGGGCAGGCAGGTGTGACCGCATACCTGCTTGTGTCGACTACATGTCTTTATGTGTGTGTGTGCATTCTTGCTCATGAGAACAAAATGCTTTGTTTCATACCTGCAGAAAGTCTCTAAAGCCACAGACACCACATCAGATTTGCAGAAAAGGCCCAATTAAGTTTTTTAAAATTTAAATTGCAAACTGTTTACAAGGTTGGGTGGGTGTCATAGTGGTGAGACAGCAAGAATAATTCATGTGAAGTCACCTGCTGGGTTAATTTTTATATTCCTGGCAATTTGCTGGTAGTGCCACCTCAGCCATCCACACACTAGTGTCCCACACCTCAATATTCTGCACGTTTGTCCACTTTTTGTGTCACTGTGCTCACCTATCTTTGGTCTGCAACAAAAGCCGCCTTTGTCCTCTCCCTCTGCTCCCAGCCCCATTCAGGCATGTGACAGTAGCCACTTCTCCGCAAGCTGGGCAAACCGGGGCCCAGACCTGCTCAACATGTTTGCACCTCCAGCCTGAGAGCAATATTTGTTTACTTGACACCAAAATGTAGCCGAGAAACACCCCAGTTGAGTAAAACACAAAAAAGTAAAAAAAATAAAGTCTGACTTTCAGTGTGAGGTGAGTAAACTAAACCCGGCTGTTCTTCACACACACAAGGAACCTGTGCTATCCTGAACACTGAATGACACCTTTTCTTGTCCTTGTTTTCTAAGGGGAAACATGTTTTTTTTATATGAGAAGATTTCTACTGTATCCACACTGTAAAACAATCCTTTTTTTCCCATCTATGATGTTGAATGTGTGACCCTGTTATCACACAGGAAAGTGCAGCATGCTGTTGCATCAAAACCAACCCCACCCGTTGTTGTCCACTGGCTCAACGAAGCCACGATTAACGCCACTTCTGTTTCTTTAATTGGAAACTAGTTTGCAGGTCGTTTGATGTCCGACTGTGAGCTAAAGCAGAGAGTAAACCGTGGCTGGCGTTGTGTGTCCTGTAAGACTGAGAAATGTGTGTTACACTTGTACAGATGTGTCCTCGATACCTCACACGGTTTTCCTCAAGAGCATGTATACTGTCACGAGGATCATGGTGTCCGTGAGTGTCCTTGTCTCTCTGTATATCATCACTCTTTGTGGCCCCCCTGATTCTAAACCTCCTGGACAAGGCTATATTTTTACCTGTTGTATATTGTGAGAGTTTATTTTCTGCCCTCTTACGAAAGCTGACGCGGGCACTAAACTTGTCAGTGTTTGATCATGATCCCACAATAAAGAATTATTTGTACTTTTAAATCCGAGGCTGGAGAGATGAGAAAGGGTTATATTTTTTAGTTTCTGTTTATGCAGCACATTGCAGCGACCACTGTTTTTATTTTCCTATTGTATATCTACTGAGTATGGTGTTGATATAAGAATATTATAATAAGACATATCTGTGTATATTTGTACATATGTAATTCTGACTTGTATGTAAAATGAAAAGCAGCTTTAATAAAGTCTGAGATGGTTTCCTCTATGGGATTTTGCATTGTTTTTTTTTTTGTTTTGTTTTTTTGGTGAGACTTCAAGCTAGATCCCTGCACTGACTTCTAGTTAAATATAGAATTGAATTAAAGGCTCTACTTATTGTCTATATGTTTTTGAATTGGCTGGGTGCAAAATATATCAAGAGATGTGTTTGCTAAGTAAAAACCCTGAGACCTGCAGAGACTAGTCAGCTAGTTGTGGACACAATGCAGTGGTATTCAGTCCATTTACTGTCCGCTGCTGGAACCAGCTCACCTCCGAAATTAGATTAGCTCCAAATATAGGCATTTTAAAAAGCAAGCTAAAGACAGTTTTTTTTCTCCACTGCTTTTAATTAATCCTTTTTCTTTTTGAAAAAAAAGTAAGTCATCTACACTGCTTCTACTTTTAATAAACTTGTCTGCACTTTTTAATTTGATTTTTCCCCCTTTATTGTATATTTAATCTTCTACATATTCCTTTTTTAAGTTTTCTTATCTTTTGCCTTTTTCTACTGTTTGTGAATTGATTTTAATTATTTTACAATTATTCTATAAAATGTGTGTGCATTTTATTCAATGTCTGCACTGTTTATGATTACCTATTGATTTAGTTTAATTCTTTATTTTATCATTTACGTTTGCCTGTGAAGCACTTTGGATAAGGTGCTATATGTAACCAAAAAAACTTGCTTGCGTGCTAATTTAATGATTACTTTAATATTTTTTTAATAGTTTGCTCATTTACACACACCGTAAATTTGTTTTCAAATTGAAAATTTATAAATTGTACATTTATTTACTATTAATTCTTTATTGTGAACCAGAAGCGTAGTTTTAACCACGTGGTATCTATCCGCCAATGAGCTGTGCTCACTTCAGACCGTCATGATTCGGCCTGGGGTGCGTTCCAATACGTACTCTCGCCGACCTTCACCTCTATTCTCGCCTGTTTCTCACTCTTGGTGATTAATTAAATATCACCAGGGTTATATTAAACGTGATTACGGTGAACTGCATTACCTCTGTTCTTATTCCAATACACACAATGCGGAAACACGTGAGGCAAGGCGGTAGGAAGGGCTTTACGTGAGCTTATGTGAACGAGATTCTGCCGCGGCTGGAAAGATACAGATCCGCCAAGTTAGCAGGCGTGAGCTGCACTGCTACCGGAAGTGACGCTATTTGCGCTATAAAGCAAAAATGTGTGTTTGACAGCGTAACAGTACGCAAATGGGGCGAAATCTCACTTCAGTTAACAAACTGCAGCCCCGTTTCGCTTAGTAGCTGTTATTTTAGTTTACGCTACACGCTTGTATCGCTTTCATCGTTCTTTATTTCGAACGTATGAGGTTTCGTTGGGGTTTTACTTTGAAGGTTTCCACTTGAAGTGGTCGACTTTGTTAATGCGAGCTTGTCGGCAGACTGGAAAGCGACCAGATGGAATTCTGCACTGCCTTCTTAACAGATTCCACACATTTTAAATTGTATCGCACACATTTTTAGCTGACTCTCCTGCTAACTAACAGCCCTGGCGTGACCGCTAACGCCTTTCTGGGAGGCTCGGCTGCGCTGCGAACCGGGACAGAAGCGGTCAAGACATTTAAAGATACCAAACATCTTCCCACTGTAAGTATCATTTGTAGCCTGTACTGTCGAAGAGCTGTAGCTTCCAGATAACCTAATGGTTAGATATTACTGCCCTTGACAGTCTTTGTAACTTCAGTCGGGGCTGACACGTTGAAACGTCTGTTATGGTGGTACACGAGTCCACCCTAATGTCATTTTCAGCAGTTGTTTCTGAAATGATGCAGACAACTGTGATTAGCTTAGAAAATCTGTCAAACAAAAAGGGAGTTTGGCCGGAGGCGAGAGGGGTGTAGCCTTGTTAAATCACATTGTCTGGGACTGTTAATGCGGCCTAACGTGCTGTTTACTGCCGTCTACGTTTCAGGCTCTTCCTGCTCTAAACACTGTCGTTAGTGGGGTCTTTAATTCCCCAGCAGCACATTTACACTGTGTGTGTATTTTGTTTTTGTTTTCTTTTTCCTCCCTCATATGCTACTTTAGACGACCAGCGTCAAGCTAGCGTCAATGACAACAGCTCGGCTCCCACTGAAGGATTTCAAAGCAAAACCATGCAAACGCGATCTAGGAATGAATTGTTTTGGGGTTTTGTTGTTGTTGTTGTTTTGTGGGGGAAATTATCAATAAAGAATTCTAAACATCCGCTAATTGTAGCTCCTCAAATGGCAAGTTTTGCTGTTCACTGTTGTTGACTTCAAAACACTAAATAATTGTATAATAAAACAGGAAACAGACAAAACTAACAAACAAAACCCCACACAATAACGCACATAAAAAAAAAAAAAAAAAATCTATTACTTGTAGGTAATCAAGTAAATCCTTGGATTTGTTGTACTTTTATGTATTTTTTGTAGAGTCATAACTTCAGTTCAAAATGAGTCAAGTCAGGTTAATCTCCATAATTATTAATATGATAGGCCTTAACATTTATTATATTCAGGTAAAGCTGTAGTTTATCTAATTGGTGTAGGGTTAACTATTTAGTTTTTTGTTTGTTTAGTTGGGGTTTTTTGGTGGAGAGGGGTATCTATCTAAAATTCTTAACATCCTCGGATTACAACTTCTCAGATGTATCTTTTTGACTTTAAAATAAAAATAATTGTATAACAAAACAAGCAAAGACACAAAATATTGCATCTAAAATTAAAACAAAAATGCTATTTTGCTCATAGGAGATCAAGTGAATCCTTGGACTTGTTGGGTTAGTTCAGAAATCAGTCAGATTAATAATACTGTAGGATCTTAGCCGTAACATTTATTATGGTCAGATAATGTTGGATTTTCTATCATTTTTGAAGGGTTGTGTTATACAGCACAGTGTTACTGTAGCACAAGAATGCAGCTGCTCAGATGGGAGGTTTCCTTCTTTTTGTCTGTTTATATGACTGTCAAATTAATATAGTTGGCTTTTGATATGCACAAATGTACAAAACAAGGTATTTAAAAAAAAAAAATAAGTGAAATCTGGGTTCTGGGAAACTGCCTTACTTATATTTAAATTAATTTAACAAATGATTTTTTTTTAAAAATTAGATTCAAATGTGCTGTATAAAAAACATTTTCTGGTATTTAAGACTAAATAACTATTTGACAGATTGAAGAAACAACTGCCAGGTTCATGATTAATGATGATAACAGTGACTTACAGCCTTTCTTTGGTTTTCAGTCACCACTGGTATACAGTTCAGTATTATCATATGCTGCAGAGTTGTAGATTGTATGTTTTTGACAAAATACTGATACTGCACAGGTAGTAACAAAAGGAACGAGGTTTAGTTTTTACAGCAGATTAATTTTATATTCATTGGCAAGCTTGGCATCTGTTAGTTATCTTGTTGTTCTTGTGAAAACTTTCCCAAGCAGTTCAATTCTGGACTTGTTTATAATACATAATGTATGATATGTTGGCTTGAGCTTAGTCGGTATTTAAAATCTAGTAATACTACAGAATTACACAGGTTTGTTTGCAAAATGTTCCTTTGTGGTCATAACCACATCCTGAATCTTGTTCAGTGTCCCAATGCTGTGCTTTTATTTTGAAGGTAAAACTACATTACATGCTGTGTTCTTCTGGTTACCTCCATTTGCCTTGATATTACAGACAGACCAGAATCAGATCCTGTAGGATCTCATATCCTGGTAGGACGTCAGGCCTGTCCCACACTGATTCAGAATATGAACTCCTACTGCTGCAGCCTACAAACACTTCTGAACAAGTGACTGTATGTGAGCAGATAAGAGAACTTATCGTGCAGGTCTGTCACTGTGTCTGGGATAAATTATGTAATATATTAGCTTTCAGTGACCTGGTGGTGATTTTTAATACCTGTAACTTGTTAAAAGCATTCTTATTTACTGCCCTGTAGTAGTTCTAACAATCCCATGTTTAGATAGTGTCTGCTACTTGTAATGAAGGAGATGTGATGCAGACAGAAAGCGACTAAAAACACAGGGCCATCACTGAATAAATATTGGCATGTAGGTGACTGTATGCTTCAGTAAAGTGCACTGAATACAGGCAGGCATTCGGGGTTGTAGTGATACTGCATGAGAACATTGCTGCCACTGGTAATGTTCACCTTTCAAAGTGAAAAAAGAAGGGATTTTTTACATCATTATCAGTCCTGAGAATGGATTCGATGAGCTGTTGTTTGTCCTTAGAGCAGACAATCTCCTTGAGATGGGCCGTGACGCAGCATCATCAGCTCAAACACTTAGATTCTCATTTGTCTGACTACGTGCTGACTCTGCAGCATAAACAAAGCAACAAATCTCGTCTGTCAAAGTAGAATACGGAGCGAACAAGGGACGTTAATAGCCCCGCTGCTGTAAAGTACAACCTGTAGGTCTTCACTTTGATTTCAGAAGTGATGAAAATCTTTCAGCCGCTGACAAGCTGCATTTGTGGGAAAGAAACTATTCTGTGCTGTACTTAGAGAGATTGAAAGTGGTCAGTATCCTTCACTTAGGTTACACCAACTGAGGGAGTGGGTTAAATATCCTTGATGCTTCTCCATTAACTCCTGAAACCCTATTGTACGTGTTTCAGTACATTATGAATGAACATGAATGTCTGCCTCTGCATTCCACACAGTCAAGAAGAATAGCTGTAAAATTATAGGAAGTTCTTTTTTGAAAAGGCTTTACATTCTTCACCCTGTTAAATACCCTCTTGACTTAATGAACTAGATTTGCGAAGAGTTCCTGAATGCTTTAGCAGGCTTTAACGGCGTACACAGATTTAAACGCATGAAAGTAATTTTTCATTTGATGCTTCCACTTTGAATATGAATATGACTTTAGACATGTTGCAAAATGCAGCCTGTTAAGAGTCATTGAGTGCAGAGCGGTTTCGGCTTCATGTGCTCCCACGGCTGTGTGTAGAATTTTAAAATTGAGAGCTCATTCATTTTAATGTACAGTAATAAGTGCATAACAAGACAATCCAGAGCCTGATACGACTTCAGAAACCCAACTTGCGTTCACTACTACCGCTGGCTGAGTGGCATGCAGGTGTGACGGATCACTACGTTACCATCTCCTCTGGCCGGATAGCTACGCTGGAATGACATTGATTAGTCATCAAAGCCACCCACTGGGATGCAGTTTGCACTTGTTACAGTGTGTGTTACTGTAATCTGATGCTGCGAAAGGGCAGCTGAGCTATTTGATGAGGGCAGGGCCAGGAGAGGCTAAGAAAACTGCATTAGTCATTCATAAACTTGCTGCAGGTAGATCAACAGACAAGGGAAGAAATCAGCACTTTGTGTGCTGAATGAAGAACTTAAATTTATTGGTAAGAATACGCTCTGAATATATTAAAGTCGTGCCTAAGAAAAAAAGGGAATGAAGGTCATGATATACTGCTATTAATTGTGACGCTCTAAAATTGTTCACGAATACTACACGTGATAATAATCCAGAGCCAGCATATATGTGGTTGACAACTTAGTAGATGGCAAGATAGCACTTTAAGATTGTTTGTTACCTGCCAAAACAGCACAAAAAGAAGAATCAGTTGGCTGCTAAGTGTTGACCAGTATGTTTTTTTCAGATCCAATGTCTCTTATTAGTAGCTGAAATTGATGTGAATTGCAATATTTAAAGATAACACAAACTCCCGCACAGAAGTCCTGTTATTTATTTCACATATGTTTAATTAAAAGACAACTTTTCAATATTTATTCCTCGGGTTTGATGGGTTTTACTTCTAATGTGTAACCAACTTTGCTTCAGAAGAGAGACTGTTGCTTACGAGCCAAAGTGGCAAACTTTAACATTTATTTTACTTGGAATTGGTTAAGAAAAATAACGAATATGATAAACAGGCCTCGACTGAGGAAAATCATGTCCGAGCCTTTTTTCTTCTTCTTCAAATTGTCAATTCATATTGGGATAACTTTATTAGTAATATTAACCTTTTGTCCGATAATCGTGGCGTCATTATATGATACCGCGATCTACTCAAGAGAAGTTTAGGAAAACTGCAAGACAACGACAAACATCACCGTCAGCCCTCGTGCTACAGTGTAGGAGGACTTAGATTATATAAAATGTCCTGTTCAGCGCAGCTCTGGCAAAGATGAAAGTCAAGGGTATTTTCTTTTAGATGTGTGCTTTTACATTAAGCCTATATGTCAGCTGTAAAGGTCGTGCGTACAGATAATCCAGGAGAAATCTGCTTACAGCTGGAATATGTCGTCACTCTGCGTCTCTGTATCTGCGCTCAGGTCAGAAGAATTTACTTTGAATGTTTGGAAAGCACAAAGGAAGGCGACCGGCCTGTTTCTATTAAAGCATAATGAGATTGTCAGTATACTTTGATATGTCACAAGATGAGCAGCACGCCCACTGAAAATCTTTATTCTATTATACTTGGCAGAATGACGGGATGCGGTGTCTATCATGTGAACCTAACACAGACGTCTGATAAGCTTCTGAGCATGTGATATGAGTTGGCATTGAAGCTAAACAATATGTTCATCGTTTAGTCAACAAAATAAGCCGCTTGTCATTTTTCAAGCAAACACATGACGGATGTGAGGATTATTTTTTTTGCTTTTCTTTGTCTTACGTGAAAGTAAACAAAATATATTTTGGTTTGGTCAGAAGAGACAAACTATGATGAGCAATTTTCAGAATTTTATAGACAAATTTGATTCCTTGAGAAGCTAGTAGTTATACGATGTTTATTTTCATGCATTATGTTGTTCAGCTACACACTGAGTGCTATGAATAAGAATATAACCTGCTGGTATCTGTGTTTTTTTATGTGGAATTTGTTGTTAGGAGCCAAATGTTTCAGGAAAAATGATCAGCTCAATAATCGATTATTTCACTGCAAATTAAAAATGAATCAGCAGGTGCTTTACTGCATAATAAAAGAAGGTATTAAAGAAAGAAAGCACTTTACAGAAGCTCTACGGTGCAAATTTGGCTGCCAAAACATACAGTTTAATTCAATCTTTGCAGTGCAGGGATATGCACAATAATAATTAACATGAAGCAGCTACTTCAGGGTTATTCTGACTCTGCGGGTTTGCACCCATGTATGGCTAAGAGTGAAATTATGCTTCATAATCTTATTAAAATGATACTCTCAGTCATTCGTGTGCTCTGCGTCCTTGGTAACCTTTAGCTTTCTTCTGTATGTCTTTATTTAAAGCTCATTTAGTCCCTCATGATTACAGCTAAAACACTACTATTTGGGGCAATGTGGAACCTCAGTGTTTAGATTATGCTGAAGCGGAGCAGCAAGCTGTGTGTGTTCAAGCCCAGTGGGCACCCGATTAATTCCATTACATAACATTTAGTCAGTCTTAAGTAGGCTACAAGTGAAAATGAAGGCTCCACAGTAACCAGCTGCTTAAGCTTTTCAGGACTCAAAGACGTGTTATTAGATGATTAAAACGGACCCGCTAAGTATTCTTTAGTAATTAGAAACATTTAGTTGGAGCTCCAAGCGGCAAGGCCAGACTGGACATGTCCAACTCCAGAACAAGTTGTTACCTGACACAGTAGCCTGCAATGTGATTAGATTAAAAAAGCAGGAACGCTTGTGCAAGTGCGGGTCTCCTTTCATGATAAATACTTCCTCATTGCCTGTTTATCCTTTAGCAAATATTGACGGCTGTGAAGTTGTGTCGTCATCATGTAGTACGAAGATAAAGCGAAACAGAGGGGCCCTTATTGTGTTTTTTCTATTATTCCTGGAGAGATTGAACAAACACTAAACCTCAAAGGTGCACATTTTAGTCACTTGACATCTAAAACGATCGTAATACAGTTATTTTGTGATACTTTGCTCTGTAAATCTGAAAGAAAAAGTACCCCTGAAAAGTAATAATCAAGAACCGTGTATATATTAGCTACAGTGTGGTGTTTCAATATTCAATTTTGTAATGTGTTGGTGCAGTTATTTACCTTTCTCCTGCTGCTTCCCCGTGTGAGCTTTTCTTCTTCACCCTAAGTGAGTTAACTTTTGCTCCCTTTTACAATCATTCAGCTGATAATCACCAACATGATGTGCATGTTCTAATAAACATCGTGGTATTTAGTGTCAGTGTACCAAAAAAAAATGTGGAGCTCTTCAGCAGGTTTTCAGATAAACAAGCTTAATCATCCGTAGTAACAAAACAAACACATTTAGGCGACTAAAGGGCCTTTTTCTGTCTTAAGATCTCCTTGAGTTCAGCTTAACCTTCTGGCACTTCTGACATGTGAAAAATTTATTTTGAGCACTTACCAGCTTGTTTACGATACATTGTGCCTTCCTCTCCTATGCTATGAGGCATCTTGCTCCATGTGATTTCATTTGTTAACTGTGAATCAGCTGCCTGCCCTCTAGCCAGCACCATTGTCTCTGTGTCAGAATAAAGCATCGAAAATCATCAGAACACACACACACACACAAACTGGCTCATTCTGATAAACAACCAGAGGACAACTTAGTATAATTAAAACATTGAAGTAAATACCTTAGGCCCAAATTTAAAACACTGTGAGGCTGAGAAAAGTGAAGACACTCTGAGATTTTTGCTTTTGTCAAGTGAAAACCTTGTGATTCCAATTCGGGCTGTTTTCTTGTTTCTGTGGGGCATCGAACCTCTAATGACCCTGAGTAATTTTACAAAAGAATCTTCTTTGCCTTTAATATGCGAAGAGATTTTAATTTTATAGTGATTCGCTCCTTCCTCCCCGGCTCTCATGTGCTCATTATTCTGGGGGAAAACACTGACACTCACTGCTCTCCTCAAATACCTCTGTGGAGGCTCAGTTTGTTTTCTTTATTTTACCATTGTTGCACTGCGATCTGCAGCAGCTGTTAACTGTTCATGCCCTGTGACGGATGACCCCTTCTTGACAGCTTTATGAAATCTAAAATTGATCGTGTCGGGTTTTATGTCATATAATTAGATCTTTGTAATGGAGCAGAATTGATGCAATAAAGCTGTTGTACAGTTCAGTTTACCACTCTGTTTTACTATCATCCGGGGAAATCAGAGTGTTCCTGCTCCTCGCTGCACAGACAGACGGCATTTACTGTCACAGCTCTTAATTCTCCTGTTACGCTGATGTGAAGTATCACAACTCTGCGAGGCTAACTGAAAACTACAGATGCAAGGAAACAGATGTGCGCTGCTGGTGCTTCCCTGGCCCGCTTCATTACCTGTTCAACTGGATGTGAAAGCGAATATCTAATCGGCCAATCACGTGGCAGCGCGTTAAGGCACGGAGGGAGGAATGTAGCAGAGGTGGATGGAGAGGAATGAAGGTGGGAGTTAGGGTTAAGAGGGAGGGTAATGCCCTTTTACATTCCCAGATGAGGATTAGCAGTCACAAGTTCTCTAGCCGTTCGTGACCTGGCCTGGATTGTGAAGGCCACTGTTTGCCTAACGGATCTTTTATATGCTCATACATTCAGTCATGGAATCATCTTAAAACCGTCAGTTGACAGAGTTCTTGAAAAATGACCATGTAAGGTCCCTGTTTGAAATAATCTGCAGGTTATGCACATTTTGCTTGATTTATGTATTGCAATACTGAATGGTACACACATGGCACAGACATTGCTAAGTTGTGGGGCAATACCAGCGCTCATTGGTGCATCAGTATGGTATGTGTCAGCATGCCCATGCAACAGTATACTGTGGTAACTTACATCTACTGGCACCATCCCAACTGTTGATGCCCCAACAGTCCTTGACATTCTGGCAGAACCAGGGCAAAATACAACTGGCGCTACTTGGATATTATGCAATATAGCAAGACTGTATGGATCACATGCAGTCAAGATGATGACTCTATGACATGTTGCTTCCAAGCTGGATGTGGATCTGTTGACTTGTAGGAAACTGACCTCTATCAAAATGAAGCTGCATAAATGTTAGAACACCTGTTTTTACCATGCTTATTGCAGGGATATATCTTTTTATGTGTGTTTTAATAATTACTAGTCAGATAGTAGCCACTGAATTTGTACTTATGTGTTTTTAGGAGATTTAAAACTCAAAAACAAAAGACGTATTTAGATTTACCTCCAGTGAGGCCAGTTTTGTCACATTGTACTCTTTAATTAGCCTTGAAAAGTCAGACTTTAATGCTCAGGTTCTCTTTCTTGCTTGTTCTTTGTTTCTTGTTTCAAGTGTGGATAACATGCACTCTAACATGACTCAGATGTGGCTGTGTTTTGTTGTGACTCACCACCTCCAGAATCTTATGAAAAACAACTATTTAAACTACAATTAAAGTGTCTGATGCAGAATAAGTAATGAAGTTTGAATATACAAGCACAAGGTGTGTATTTGCCTCAAAATGAAACTGCTGAAAGTCTGACTTGCTGATTTGACTTTTGTTGCATCAAAGAGGCAGCTGTTTGAATAGACTAGAGATGACGTCGGTGTCTGTAAGGTGGAAGAGGAATCCAGAGACGCACACGTTCTTATTTGTCTCTCAGCAGCCTTTTGTTGAGTCGTCACATCAGGTGGACGGAGAAACATCAGCGTTAAAGGCAGTGAGACGGTCCTGCCACTAATCCTCCTTTTCTCAAACTTTCCACTGGAAACCAGACATGGGTCAGGGAAAACGGTTGCCTAGTGACGATCCATGTCAAGATCCGTATCAGACAGAGTTTAAAACATTGTGGTGCACAATTTGGTGTATATGTGTCGGTTTATAAGTCACCAAAAAAAGGGAGAAAGACAGAAGTTTTCTTTATTAAATAACAATCACAGTGGTATATCACTTGTTCACTGAAAAGTTTATTTTTGGCTGTAGAATCTCACATACTGTGCATATTTTGATCACATTTTTTTTTTTTGTTAGTCAAAGTTAAAGCATCCTAATGTACAAACAAATATTTCAGCTGATATATTGTAATATAAGTACATTTTAAAAACTCTCAAATATTGCTGTTAATATTCCCCCCATCAAAACAAACTCAACACAAGCTCATCTTTTATCATAAAAGGTAGCGAAAAGAAAAAAAAAATCCTGGGCGTACTCCATGCTCTCGTGGAGCAATGAAAAGAAAGCCAGACATGTCCTATTCAAAAATAACTCCTATTATTTTAGTTGCCACTGCTGCTTTCAACTTGTCACTGACTGCTCCTTTGTGTTCCCTGCATCCTGCTGCTGTGTTTCACAGGTCCCAAGGCGTGTGTGTGAGTGTCCATCATGCCGCTGTTTGGTAAATCCCACAAGAGTCCCGCGGACATCGTCCGGACCCTGAAGGAAAACCTGGCCATCCTGGTCAAACAGGATAAGAAGACAGACAAGGTAGGGAAGGACACCATTTTCCTCTGTGTGTCTGTAGATGCCTGGGTGTCCAGGGGCCCGAGGGTGGCAGCCCTCTGTGAAATTAGAGCTTGGAACAGACTGGCCCTGTCATCTCCTGACACTTCACTGTCAAGACAGTTTACTCTCTTTCACACATGCACACACACAAAAATCAGACACACAAGCCAAGATCAGGCTCATGTCAGCTGCAGCTCTCTTCTCCCCCTTTTGCTCAGGCCCATATTTACATTGTTCCTCCATACTGTGTCCTCTAAAGGCCCGTTTACCATCTCACTTGTATTTTACAACTTGCCCACTCTGCTCTTCAGGCATCTGAGGAAGTGTCAAAGTGCTTGGTGTCCATGAAGGAGATTCTGTATGGGAGCAACGATAAGGAGCCGCACACTGAGACTGTGGCCCAGCTGGCCCAGGAGCTGTACAACAGCGGCCTGCTGATATCGCTGGTAGAAAACCTGCAAGTCATAGACTTCGAGGTAAGGAGGAAAAGCATGTGTGAGTTGCTCTGTAATCACACAGCATCTGCAGCACCACAGGTCCATCTTTCATGATTAAGATGACAGTTATTAAATGAACAAATTTCAAGAATACCATAGTCAATATTTTTCCATCTTTCAAAAACATTCATTTTGTCTTTGTACGGTTTTGCTGGCAATTTTAGATAAGTGGCCTTGTGCAACAATAAAGGCTCTGACATGTAATTTTACATTTACAGAATTTAATAAAAATCTTGCAATTGCTGCTGTGTTTCAAAGCTTTTAACTAACTTCCAATCATTCCAGGCGTGAGCCAACTCCCATTTGTTTCTGCATGTTATAAATAATCTATTTGCTAACACAACATTGGACATTCAGTCTGCATCAATTCCTACTTTATTGCTGTGAGGTCAGACTTTTCTGATTAGCCTGCACTTAAATTGCATCACCATGTATGACAATAAAAATTAATGTACACTTCACAAGTTCGAAGAGACACATTTGACTTTCTCACTATACAAAACCAATGTGCACTGACGGCACATCACCCACTGAAAACTGTCAGCGTCTAGTTAACGAGCAAAAGTTTTCTAAAACTTTCTCCATATCCAGTCAGACTGAGGATTCAGTCTTTGTAATTTGATACACTATAATTTAGCACAGATGGACCCAGAAATAGAGGTGAAGAGAGATGACAGACGTCTGTCACATCATAAAATGAACATTCCTCGTGTTTTATTTTAGGAGGAGAAATGCAACATATAAAGAGGAAGAAATACTGTAGTGGAGATAGGTAATTACTGCAGCAGAATTTAAGGCTTTGGTTTTCTGTCTGTGTGTTTCCAGGGAAAGAAGGACGTGTGTCAGATCTTTAACAACATCCTGAGGAGGCAGATTGGGACGAGGAGCCCCACTGTTGAATATTTCTGCTCCCATCAGGAGGTCCTCTTCATACTGCTGAAAGGGTGAGACAGCCGCGTATTGTACATACTGTACACAGTCTGACGGTTTCCAAGGAGGTGACGCAATACTGTCTGTCTGTGCGTTTGAAGATACGAGACACCGCAGGTGGCGCTGAACTGTGGGATCATGCTGAGGGAGTGCATCCGCCACGAGCCACTCGCCAAGATAGTTCTTCATTCCGAACATTTCCACAGTTTCTTCAACTATGTGGAGATGTCCACCTTCGACATCGCCTCCGACGCCTTCGCCACCTTCAAGGTAACTCGGGTGTTTCTGTTCTGGGCTGTTCAGTCATACCAGAAATACCAGAGCTCCACCTGCTCTGTAGGACGAGGCGTTGAGTCAGACTGATGTGGGTTTTTAAAACGCTGATGTGTATTCGGATAGAATTGACTAATATGTGGTACCAGAGTTTATTTTATCCATTACTGGCAAAACAGGATGTCTAAATCTTCTCAAGGTTTTATTCTAAAATAATACGATAAGATTATGTTTTCTGGCGAGCCGTTTCTACACAGAAAAGGGTGCTGCTTCAGATAAACCTTGTGTGCGCCTTGAGATATGCATTATTCTCTTATGTGAACTTCATGTGTGAATGGTTACTTTTCTGTAAAAGTCAGATCTAGCAACGTATCATTCAACACGGCACAAATCAGAATGGCAGACAGGCACGCAGCTTTGATGAGCAACGTGGTTTTAGCAGTTACCTTCATGATTAGCAAGGTCATATTTCATATGTAGTGTTTCATGTGCACAATAATTACTATTAATTGACTTTAGAAAGCAGGTCAGACTTTTATAGTCAAATGATTTCCCAGGACAACATCTAAAGACTGTTTCTGTGTAACTTTTAAATGGAGTGTCAGCTGTGAAGTGTAGAAAAGTGTCATATGCTGTTAGATTGTAGAACTTAAAAGTGGCCCATGTCTGAATGAAAGAATACAACCACTTTCACAGATTAATAAAGCGGCAAGGTTACAGCTTAATATTCATCTGTCTTTACGAGCAACTAGTGTTTGACCAGTATTGATTTCTAAAGCCCAGTATACAAGCAAACCTAATATGGTTCCCCTTGCTACACGAGAACAATCACATGGTTCCTCTGCTTCATTATTTTGCAGAAAGTGTACATTGAAAGATTGAAAAAAGCCACACAACTGCTAAGTAGTGTTAACCTAAATTACCTAAGCGATATGTTTTTTCCTTTCTTCACAGGATCTCCTGACAAGACACAAAGTTCTTGTGGCTGAATACCTCGAACAGAACTACGATGCTGTAAGTGATTTGACTTCCAAACATTTTTGCAACAACACATGATGGATGACTGTGACGGCTACTAAAAGTTTGCAATGTTGTTCTGAGTCCGTGTTACCAGGTGGAGTTTGTTTAGTCCCAACTATTTCATCATACCTCACACAACATGCGTAGGTCACCATCACATCAGTCACTGATGTGGAAGCATAAACATAAACACTGCTCTAAATGAGGAAGCCCACATAGATACATAACGAGATCAGGTATCAGTCACTGCTGTGCTCAATGGCCCAGTCATGTCACACACAAGGCCTTGTGAGAGGCTATTCAATACGCTGGAAAAGAGAGCAGATAGGTAGGAAGTGTATTGACAAATACACTTCAAGTTCCAGGAAAACTAAATCCGTGGAAAGCCCTCTCAATGTCACAATGTGTCTAGATACAAAGCTCAGCTCTATGCCGTCAGCCTCCCGTGGCAGAGGGGCCCCTTTCACAGGTCAGGCTCCCAGGGGTCTCAGCCTGAAGTAACCCACACAAAACTGCCTTTTTACGTGGACGCTGCATGTTGACAGATGTCTGCATGTCGCTGGCTGTGAAGCCTGTCAGGAGATGTGGGCTCAATAGTCAGTGACCAGGCGGAGCCAAAATACGTGACTTTGATTAGAGTTTGGTGGTCGGCCCAGGTAAACGCAAGTTAGTTTTTGGTGTGTGATGTACGACGTAATATAGATTTAATTAAGATTTGAATATCACACCTTTGATTCAAGATCAATAATGTTCATTGAGGTTGATGTAGTGAAAGGACTTCTGGTAATTTAATCCAGCAGTTCAAGGAGATTTTCTTAGTAGTCAGACATAAAACAAACGCATTACAAAGACACATTTTGATGTTAGCTGTTAATCTGAGATAAAGATCCAAAGGGCACTGCTATGAGAACTTGAGAGAAAGTTGTGAAAGACACAAGTTATTTTAAGTCTGGTTTGTGTTTTGCAAGTGTGGAGGAAGTGAAAGAAAGGGGTGGCATCTTTCAATTCATCTTTGTTATATATGTTCTACTTCTGCAAAGGCAGACATCCAAGCAGGTTGGATAACTCTGGATGGTCTCTGAAGTTTTAGTACGGCTCATTTTCCTTGGAGCTACAAGGACAAGAGACCTAAACATAGGAGACTAGATACGTAAAACTACAAGCCAACAGTCTCAAACTTGATCTCAGACTGTTAATAATGTATAATAAGGTGTGTTTCCTATTTCATTGCAGGTGTTTGCAGACTACGAGAAGCTGCTGCACTCTGAGAATTACGTCACCAAGCGGCAGTCTCTAAAGGTTTGGCTCTGACTCATGTATTGATTTACGCTGGCACTGAACAAAACATTAGTCTAACAAACAGACTTCCTAATTTATTTTTTTATTTATCACTGTTCTAAATATTACTTCCTCCAGCTTCTGGGCGAACTGTTATTGGACAGACACAACTTCACGGTGATGACGCGCTACATCAGCAAGCCTGAGAATCTCAAGCTGATGATGAATCTGCTAAGAGACAAGAGTCCCAACATCCAGTTTGAGGCCTTTCATGTGTTCAAGGTAAAAACGGGTCCACTGTACTGAACATTATAACAATGGATTTGGAACAGACCAGCATGCACCTGCTCATATTTATCTGATTTCTGAAAAAAGGGCTACACTTAGTTTGAAGCTGACTGAGTAAACCTTAAATAAATATAAATGTTGCACAAGTTAGATCTAGCAGTCTCCATTTAGTTTTGGTTGTGAAACACAGGGGTGTTCACAGGTAGTCGGTTCCTCCTGCTGGCTAAAACAATGCATTAATCCTGGAAGTTTATATATTAATGCAGCAATTTTCTCTTTATAAAAGTACCACCAGGGATTGTTCCACCAATGAGACTTTGGTTGGTTGACAACATATCAATCAACAAAATCGACCCATTTTAAAAAATACAGATCCATTCGATTACAATTGCAGTGATGGTACATGCTATTCTAAAGTGAGAGCCTTTGTAAGAAGACTCAGTTGGGTTTCACCTTTTACTTCTGTAACATTAGATTGTCGACACTAATTGATCTCAGACAGACATCTTTTTCTGGCTTTGTGGCTCTGTGTATAGATTAAATGCCAGACTGGCTTATTACAAAGTCTGCTGGCTTAAACCCAACCAAAGCCAGTGTAGCAATCACAAAACTGATATCAAGTTTTCCTACTTGTGTTCAGGATTTAACAAAATCAGCAGCCGTGCATGAAGTTCTGTACTGATAATCATGACAGTGAACATGCTGCCGTCAAATTCAATCGTTGGTTTGTTCTCCACTGTTCCTGTCTTCAGGTGTTCGTAGCAAACCCCAACAAGACGCAGCCCATCATCGACATCCTGCTCAAGAACCAGACCAAACTAATCGACTTCTTGAGCAACTTCCAGAAGGATCGCACGGACGACGAGCAGTTCAACGATGAGAAGACCTACCTAATCAAACAGATCAGGGATCTGAAGAAACCTGCCTCCTAGAGAAGCACCCCTCCCTTCCCTCTACCCCAACTTTTTATCAATAGGAAGACATAGAAAAAAAAACACATTAACAATAATGGTTATTCTATTTAAAAGAAATCTTCAAGACGTTATTTGTCTTTTTTCTCTTTGTTGGTTCATTAAAAACTTGTGCAAGAGTAGTTCTTAATCACTGATCTTTCTTTTGTAAATTTTTTTTCATGAAATCTTTTTTTTTTTCTTCCATCTGTAGCATGTAGTGCCACAACTCATGGTGTTGGAGGCAGCTGATTTGCTTTGTTGGGAGAACCAGCGGTTAAAAAGCTTCAGCCAAAATGGTCTAGTGGCTGACCATTTTTGTAATGTCATCAGCATTCGCGGGTGCTCCGTTAGCCACCGCTTACAAGTTAATTTGTAACTGTTTAAATGAAGTAGCAGCAAATCAAAAAAACAAAAAATGAAGAATTTCTGCTTTTCTTTTGTGTCTGATCAGGATCAGGTGAAATATGTTTTACAGTGAGAACACCGTAATCGTGAAATACATTCTCAGTCATTGGTGAAAGCTTTCTTAGCCACATGGCAGCATGAAAGCTCAGTTGCCGGCTGGCCAAACACCCCTTCTACCACCAAAGCCAATGATTATTTTCTCTCTCTTCAACTAAAAAGCATCATCGGGCTTAAATACAATCTGAAATGCCAGCATAGCTTCATGGCTTGTAAAGGCTTGTCTTCCCTACTTTTCCTCGAAAGTCAGCATTTGCTTATTGTTGATGCAAAACATCTAATGATGACATTGTTGCCAGGTCAACGAGGGAAAAGAAAAGCATCCACCTGTGCCATTCTAATCTAAGCTTTAGCAGGGCACAAAATAGAAGGAGAGAACTGCTTCCAGTTCTGCTGGCCAACAGAAATTGCAAGAATCTTCAAAATGAAGGGCCTTTTTATTTTAATTGTGACATTGGGCTGCTATCGGTACAGTAAGCTTCATCATATATAGTTTCATTTCTTGTCATGTACAGTTTCTGGTTTGTACACCTGAAGTGAGTGCCATTGTGAGTGAGAACATTGAACATTAACAGGAGGCACTTTGCTGTGTGGAGGAGCTCCTTGTAGTGAGAGGAGAGCAGCTGTAAAGATGGCTGTTTGTGTTTTGGTTTCACTCCTTTTCTTTCTGTACTGTAACAAGTGTTTTGCTCTGATTTGGATCTGATGTTGGTGTTAGAAAGGAAGCAGTTGAGGATTCAGAGGTGCCTTTTCGTTTTGGTGTGTTTTCCCTTCTTTTTCCACTCTTTTTATTTTGTATTTACAGTATCTTTCTAGGGGGAGCTTAATTATTATGTTGATGAAAATATGCTCTGGATAGAACATATTTGTTGTGATTAAGCAGTGAACCTCTTAACTCACTATATTTGAGTTACGCTGTCATTTTGAAACATTTTGAACTTTTTGCAGTTGCCATTGCCATAGTTTGTCGCCAAAGTAGTTCTGATTGAACATGTGAATTGCAAACTGTGTCGGCTACAAACGCATAGGGAAACTTGTCGCAGAGTGAGGCCAAAGTTGACCTGTAACAGGATTCGATGGTGAAATGTAACTGTGAAAAAAAATCCACAAAGCACTAAGTTGGTTTTTATTTAACTTGAAAATGAAATATGATCCTACGTCTCCATTTTCTAAAAAAGACGCCGAGAGTAAAGCTGTTAAAATTCAGACTTTATTTTCCCAATCGACATTTGACCCACAAAGTTTTGAGCTTCCATTGGTTTTCAACAGTTTCTGTTTACTGGAGTGGTGATTAAAAGTTTCTTTAATTGGACCTTTCGCTCTGAAATGTTTCAAAGTAAATTTCAAATAATAATAAATACAGTGAATCCTAACAATAATAAAACCGTAGTGGGGTAAGTAAGGTGACAGTAATAGTCATAAACCTGTGATTTTACTTTTCATCTGGCATTAAAGAAAAATAACTCTCCATGCTTTGTCTTTTGGGTGAAAAATCAAAACAATACCAGCTATTTTGGACGCTAAGCTGTGACAGTATTATGCGATATCATAATATAACATGAGATGCAAATGTAGACCAATCAGCTTTACGGCAGAGTTTTCCGTCACTTGAGCCAAACTCCTTTGTTTATGCCTGTTTTTCAACTGAAACAATGAGCAACTTTGGTCGAGCAAAACTCATCTTCCCAGCGTCCTCTCTGAAAGCAGCCACCTTATTTTCCACATTGATGCTATTGTACCACATTCACAACAAATAAAAGGATGGGAATGATTGCTCTGTGTGCGCGTGTGCTCATTTGTCGTGCTTCTACAGGCTGGTTGTGTGTAAACACAGATGCTGATCATTCATCTGTACACGGAAACCTATTCTAATTTCTGAAATTAACTGTTTTTTTTAAATGTCGGCTTTTACCTTGAACTCTCTCTAAACCTTCAAGTATGTGATGATTTTTTTGGATCATGCTCTCCCCATCGTACTGTCTTTCTGTGATTTGGACTTAAGCTTCAACAGCTTGATATTGTAACAACAGAAAAAAAAACATGACACTCAAGGCAACTGGTACTAATGCAGAAAATTAAAGCTTGAAGTTAACGTAATTCCTCAGCACTGTGGATAAATAAATCAAGATGACACCAAAGTAAAGCCGTGTCAGAAATTCCTCCTTTCCTAAAGCTGCTTTATGGAGCATTTTATCCAACACCTGTTTATCACTGTGGTTGCTAGAAAAACTGTTGATCAGTGGTCGCTTGCATCTTGTTTACCGTCAAATATAATGTTGAGACTTACTGAATCTCATGTCCCACAAATCTTCTTTTCACAGTGAGCGTGTCGCTGCCTTTTTGTCTATACTAAGGAAAATAAATATGTTTTTTTAAATCTCTCCTTCAAGTCTAAGATACAAACAGGTCACATTTCACTTCAAGTTAATTATACAATATCCCCCAAATATTCTAACAATACTGTAATGCTTTGTAGTATCTGTATTTCTTTTTAACATCATTCAAGTCTGAATGACGTGGATTAGGTATGTGGTACGGTATGGTATGGTAACGTATGTGGATTTGTCCATCAGTCCATCGATATCCCATGTTCAGCTGACTGTAGGTGATTGGTGGTACCTGTTCGTGCACAGCTTCTTGTTACTGTTGCTCTCATGCTCAGTCTGTCTGCCGTGCTTCCCAATGTAACCATCTGGAACAAAAGACACTACTCTTAAAATACAGGTTTTATCTTGCTTTGTGTTATCTGGTTACATCCATACATTATCTATACACTGCTTAATCCTCACTAGGGTCGCAGGGGGAGCTGGAGCCTATCCCAGCCGACATCCTGGACAGCTACACAGAGAGACAGACAACCAAGCACACTCACATTCAAACCTATGGACAATTTAGAATCACCACTTAGCCTCAGCATGTTTTTGGACTGTGGAAGGAAGCTGGAGAGAACCCACGCTGCACAGGGAGAACATGCAAACTCCACGCAGAAAGGGGTGAGGCGACAGTGCTACACACCACTGTGCAGCCCTGATAAATAGCGCCTGAATCAGACCCAGAATCGTGGAAGAATGCACATAAAGATAACAAAAATAACAACTTACTAGCGAGGTGAGGAGAAGGCGCAGAGGGAGGGCTTCTTTGCCACTGTGAAGGCAAAAAAAATGTCAGATTTTTCAAAGTGGTTAAATCAGAGTATCCTCCTCACTCTTCATATTCAAGAAATTTATGAAAACATCTTTTTAACACAGCCTACAACTCACAATCCTCTTATTTATAGACACCTTTCTCCACTATATTTTATTGACTTTTTGTGCCTCCTTTGTAAAGCGTCTTTGAGTGTCTTGAAAAGCGTTATATAGGTATTATGAAATATTATATTATTAATAAAATTAAGGCATATTAAAATCAAAATTCTCACATTCTAGTATATACACATCATGACCAGAACTTCACCTCAGTTAAGTTCTGATACATTCTGGTGACCTAAAAAGTCATTTTTCTGCGGTATATATAAAAAAATCAGTATGCAATACGCAAAAAAAAAAAAAAAGAGAAATAATTTCATATTTCATTCCATATAGCCTTCATTAAACCAATTTGATAATCTTCACTACTCACTATGAATTTGTGGATGTTCTTCAGGCTGCTGAATCTCAGGTAGGAAATGTCTCTCTTGTCTTTGCCATTGTCCTGGTCGGAGGTGTAGATGTGCGTGATGCCGGCTCCTCTGATCAGAGGGACGCACTCGTCACATGGACATTTAGTTACAAACAACATGGTGGGCTCCTCTGGCTTGATGTCTCGCGCCCTTAAAGCATCAGGAGGAAAGTTTCGGTCAAACACTGCATAGATTTAGGTTAAATTTTGCTTGACTGAGTGCGTGTTCTGACCTGAAGGTTAGGGCGTTCTGTTCTGCGTGAATAATGTATCTGTATTTGCGTCTCTGGCGGTCCTCCTGTTTGTTGTCCATCTGGGGGTACTCTGCATACTGTGAGCCTGCTGGGTAGGCGTTGTACCCACAACCCACCAGGTACAGACACCCTGTTCCATTACAGCCAGCCTTGGACAAGACAGAAGTTCAAAACATTGCATCAACAACAGCAAGATGTGTGCTACATGTACCTGTTGGACTGTCTCTCCTGTAAAAGATGAGAAACGCCACACAAAGTAAGTTTGTAACTGGTTCTAACTGAACTAAAACACAACATACATTTAGTATATTTACATCAGTTCCACCGGTGACATAGGTCTTAACATGCATTTAAATGTCCTCTCAGGACATTTGTTTGATTTGTCATGGAAGCTGACTCAAGGGATTTGTCACAAACCGTTGACTTGAAGTAGCACACTGAATCCACCCACAGTCAAAACATCAATGCATTCATACAATCGCCCATAAATGGATTAATTTAATCCCATTCAGAGTGTAACAAAAACCTCCATCTATATGCGGCTGATATTATTATTTTTGTCCACTTTGCCACCCTCACACAGAGAGTCAAATTCCATCTAAACTAGTAGACACACATACTAAAATTTGTTTTGGAGATTGAGAGGTCAAAACGAAAGTAAAAAGAAGGAAGTTGAGCTCACCGACTGTCCTTTGGCCCAGATGACAGTACCCACGCCCACTTTGGGGTCCTCTGGAATGAAAATGACAGTGTTGCATTTCAGAAGCTGGTAAGAAACTATAAACTCAGACGGAAGCATTGATAGATACTCATTTACAGAAACAAACTGGTATTTTAGTTACCTATTCTTGTAATCTAGTTTCATAGTGTGAATTTAACAGGGATGAGATTGCCGTGTCATCAAACCAAATCTAAACACACAACTTGAATCCAGCTTGACAAACACTGGCTTTTTTTTTTCCAGTGGTTGATTGGTTTGCAAGATTCTCCTTTTCCTCATAACTTTTTTTTTTATTTTAGCTACATAGTTGCAGCTTGTAGTCTTTAGTTCATTACTGTTGACTCTAACCCTGAAACAGAATATGGTCTGCTATGCTATAACTCCCTCTGGGCAAATAGTAAAACCTAACCGACCTGTCCGATATTCCAGCAGCCTGGCTTGTATGATGCAGTGACAAGCTACTTCTTGGGGCACTTCCTCATGACGTGAAGACAAGGAGGCAGACGACTGTTCCCTGGGTAACAGAAACAAAATGATCAACAAAATAACAAGGGTGGATGGCAAGTGCATGAAAATACACACTTTCAAATTTAAAAAAATGAATTAACTGTGATGGTTTCTAACCTGTAGAAGCCGTATTGTTGTCGCGGCACTCCAGCAGCCACTGTAGCTAGAACCTCCACCAGCTCCATCATGTTGTGTCTCAGGGTGGAGAAGTAGGGCTCTATACAGAAATTCTCCAGGCCCATTTTGGTCAAAATCTCCTGGTGCTTCTGGGACGTACCAACCAGGAAGTGTCTGGAGAAATCCTTTCGGTGTGCTGTGCGTTGTCTGAAAATCATCACAAATTTCTGTGGTTAAAACGCAGCTTCTTTTTAAAAACTGAAAAATAAAACTTTGATTTAGAACCCTGCCTTTTTAGAATCCAACTTTTTGTCTTCTTCTCCAAAGGGGGTGTTATTAGTGTCTAACTGCCGAGTCCAAGTTCAAAATGAATGTTGATATGTTCATGTCGGCCCTCTAATTGTTACTGCACACCCACCAAAATAAGCTTTGCAAGCAGCTTTTAGGCGTTTGTACTCGTGAATTTTGCCTCCCATGCGGGTGCTTTACTCTGACATGTTAAATGCACATGAGCACCTACTTGTGTACCATTCACAAAAAGGAACTAACTTCTTAAAGACTTCTACTACTGCTGCATCACTGATGGTAGGTCAGTACCTGTTGAAGAGCTCCTCTGTGTTCAGCTCCGGGTCATCATCAGTCATTCTCTGCATAAAATCACAATCTCGGGACGTCTCGGAAACAAACTGCATCAGGCCAGGTGCCAACGGCTGCAGCAGCACACAGATGTGAGGACGGCTGTTGGACTTCAGCTTTTCTGTCGCCATGGCGTCCAGCGCAGCCTCCTCTGTGATTGAGTGAGATGAACTGTGGGAGTTTGAATGGTTTGTAGAGGTGGACTTCAGCATGCTGATTTCAGGGTCACCAGGCCAGAAAGAGATCTTACTGACTCCAGCTGGAAATAAAAGAACAGCATCATCAGGGTTCATTCCCCGTCAGTGTTTAAAATAGGTAACTTGGCCCAGGAGACGCAGTTCCAAAGTTCAGTATAACAGTTTATGTAAGGCCTAATAAAAGTCAGCATGATAATGATGATACTGTAGTTTGCAACAGTATGGCAACAACAGGACAGCATTCCCAATCAGCCCTTTAACTATGGCCACAATAAAATACACGTTAAAGTGGGTTCTGGATGGGAAACAGGATAGTGTTAAATCATAAAATCAGTCCAGTATTTTGTCCTTACTCTAAACTTTGCTAAAGCTATCAATTCTGAAAGACATGTTTTCCACTCAGTGCATACATGAATAAAATCGGAGCATAGGCTGCTTCATTTACAAATTATTATGTTCTTTTTTTTGCTGCTGATAAATCAAAAATGAAACTGGGGACGTCCCAGATAGCTCAGATGTTTGGGCCCAGTTAAGTTATCCAGGAACTACATTTCTAAAATAGGCTTGGCTTTTAACACAAAGTAGCACTGGTGTAAGATACAGTATGTATTCCCCTCTCTAAAAAAATAAATGGTGTGATGATTGTAGTGTAGTTAGTGTAGCAGATGTCATACAGTTTGTTTGGCTAAATGAGGTAGGTGACCCCCACAGCGCTGGTGTGTTAAGAGAACATTTTTCAAGTGTAGGGAATAACTGTAGCGTCACAAAGGAATGTTTTCATAAATTCTCATTTCTCCATCCCCTTCTCTCTCCTCACCATTGATGATCATCTTGAGGCAAGTAGCGCAGGGTCTCCTAGAAAAGTACAGCTGACAGTCAGCCAATCGGGCACCATGCTGGATGATGGCTGCCTGTCCTGCGTGGAGCTCAGCTCCTGAACAGTGAAGTCCAATCACCTTATTGTCCTGCACTACCACCAGTCCCACCGGACGGACCTGAAATACAGGAGATTCAAATGTATTACTTGACAGAGAAGATTTACCAGTGCTGGTAAAGAGCCTACTGCTCACAGTACTGTATGGGCATAGATGGACACAATTATCCACAACTTGTTGTATTTTGGTCTGAACAATGCATTTTTCACTGACCTGACCGTCATCATCCCCCTCAGGTTCTTCCTGAGGAAACAACTCCATCCATAAACTCAACAAGGTAAACAGGTTTACCTTTGACAACCTGGGGAGAGAGCCTGGAGCAAAAACACAAAAAGGCATAAACAGAATGAAATGATATGAAGAGTCATCTACACAGCTGCAGTTACACTGGCTGGTGTGAGAATGCAGACTGTTGTCTATGTGGAGAAGGGACTATTTAATGGATTAAGCGCTCCACCAAAGTCATTTCAGGCCACTTCCACGCCTTACAGCTGCAGTAGCATTAAATGACAGTAGCCAAACGACCCTCTGTCCCATTTATTGCAGCACTTTAACTAAACAATGGCTTATCAGTATCACTGTACAGCTATGTTAGGACCCCTTTTAGTTACCCAGTGGTCTCCCCAAAACACATTATACTATTAGTTTCAGTCATAATAAAATCATGACCACTATTTCGCTCTGCAAACAGACCCACTCAGTAGGACTTAACTGAGATATGTGGAGCCAGCACACAAAATGAAGTTACGGATATACACACTTGAAAGGTATTGCTTGCTGACAATGACAACTGACAGCCCATATCTGTATCCAAATCACTGTTGACTGTCCCAAGGAGGAAACGCTTTCTGCATGACAGCGTTTGATGTAAATCAGGATGCCAATCTACCTCTAAGACACCAGAGTATCTGGAGAACTGCTGTGTACACAAACAATGTCATACGTTGCTGCTGTATCAGTTAACTCTCACTCATCTCTCATTAATTTAGCCGTTTTATGAAATAACAGGACAGAACACTACACAACATGAACTACTCTTCCATCTAGCTCACCTCGTGTTCTGCTGTCAGTCTGACTGCTGCTCTCTCTCGTTTCTCGGCACGGCTTGGTCTGGCCCGGGTCGGCTCGGCTACATTTCTGGTTTTCCGCCATTCAAGCCGCCAGATAGAGAATGCAATATCTAGTACCGGCGTCTAAAAAAAAACAAGAGCAACTTGACAGCTGAGGTGAGTTCAACCGGAACTGATTCTAAGCTGGTTTACGTGTCAAGCTCGCCGAATAGACAACTTCCACTTCTGGTCCACCCTTTCAAGACAAGAAGCCTTGAAGGGGAGTCAATTTTCAAAATAAACAAACAAGAACTGAACCTAGCGTCACAACACAATAAACAAGTCTATCGAAAGAAAAAAAACAAAAAACAAAACACGTTTGCTTCTGAAATAAAGCTTTCGCGTAACGTTATTGTTTTCTGCAACTGCTTATAAACGTCAAGCTAGCACAAAGCTAGCTACTCGTAGCTTACGGTTAGCAATTAGCATTACTATCACAAACTCGTATTTTGATTCAAAACTCCCCAAAACAGTTTACAGCTAAACTAATACTTATAAAAAATTACCTTTCTGCGTTTATAATGTACCAAGGCATTGCCGCTCTCTTACTTCCGAGGACAACAAGCGGTACTTCTGTCGGTAGACCGGCTACCGTACGGTAGTGATGGGACGTACTGCGCCGAGGCTTCGGAGCGTGTGTCGAGAAATCCAGGAAGTCTTTTATGAAGCGCGTATCGAGGCTTGCTTCGTTATGGGCGAGTGACGTCACCGATGACGTCTGAAGCCTCGCTGGTTCAGGAAGTGGTTCGAATATTGGCGCGATTTATGACCATATAAAGCGCAATGGAGCCCCGAAAAATTTGCGCGTTAGTACACAGTGGAAAAAATATTGTTTCTGAATAAAAATGAATAAAGCCACTATCTCCCCAGTATTCACAAGCACAATCATTGTCCCATCTTTTGAAAACACTGCAATAGTATGAACATAAATATCTCATGTCCTATTATTTTTATTTAAACATTGACTGAAATCACACTGGCAAGTTTTTTGGGTTTTTTTGTTTGTTTTTATTTAAACATTTACAGACACCTATTATCATTATCCAGAAATTAATCAAAACAGATTAGATGAATGAATGAACCAACCACACAAAATTAAATTAAGGAGGTGTTTTTATTTCTGTCCTTGGCACTGATTATTCCCATGCTGACACTGTTGCAAGACAGCCAAGAGGCCATCACAAGTAGTTGAAATGACAATAAACTTTTTGGCCAGTAGGGGGGCTTGTGTGCACATGAAGCCTCGAGAAATGAACCTTTTTTTGAACCAATTAGGTGGAACGCTTCAAGGCTTCATGAGGCTTCATCTGCCCATCACTACCGTACGGTACCTTGACGGTTCCGGGTTACTTCCGCAAATATTCCCTGACGTTGCCAAGAGGGCGGGGCCTCTTGTTTGACAGGATGACCTCACTGCCATAGGACGACTGCTTTCATTATTATTTTTAAAATAATCAGGTTTAAAATAAAAAACAGAACTGAATGAGCACGGGGAAAAAATTCGAATGATAAAAGTGTACAATATGGTTTTCTAAAACGAGAACCAAATGTCAACAAGGTACAAGGTCATTTCTATAGTTAAGTACACAATGCTAAATGTAGGCAGGACGACTTTGCTACAAAACATGAATCAAATGTGAGCATAATAGATACAGGACATTTTTATTTCCTCCACAGACTGCATACATTTTGTATTATATACAGTCTGTGATTACCTCACAAAACATATCAAAACATGTCAATAACATATCAAAGTAAATGTCACAGGTATGTAACAGCAAAATAACAGTCATACAAATCCCGACACTTTACTCCTATATGTTGAATTTAAGTATTATTGGATTCATAAACATGTCCTTAGTAAATAAAAGCTTAAGAAAGCATAACAAAAATATATTTCTTTTAAATCAGTAAGCAAAAACAATCTTATTTTGCCAGTTTTTTTTATGACATTTCTCATACAAAATGAGAACTGTAAACCTGCAACTCATTCCACAGAAACCTACCATCAATGCATCTGTAACTGTTTTATGACCTGAATAAAACTGTGCTTTAATAAGAAACAGATGCCAAGCTTTAATCAAATACAGATTGCTTATTGAGCATCTGAGTGCATCAAGAAACAGAAACTTAACCGGGGAAACAGAAACCAAACTTAACAGTCTTTGAATGACTCGTCCAAGAAAATATTTTCCAACCGCACCCAGTGACGCAACAGAGAGTAAAGTCGGTGACCCGGAGGGAGCTTTTGGTCATCATAAGCCCAAGTCAACAGATAATAAAGGCCCCCCCACTTATTTTTCAGAGCATTTCAAAGTATTTATATTGCTTGAACTTGCAGTGTTTTGTGCAGTTTCAGTGAGTGCATTTCCACTATGTTTGAAGAAAAATCTGCAGAAAGTCTGATGAATTATGAAAATCATTGAGGAATCAGGTTACTAAGTGTACTACTGTGTCTATTTGTTACTATTCCTTCAGCCCTGATACAATTAGCGAACAGAAGAAAAGATTAAAACCATAATAGTAAGGAAATGACAGTTCTTTTTCGGGAAATTAAGCTTCCATTATATACCATATGCCTTACTGTATATGTATTTTACACTTGCAACAGAAGGAAAGCACAACTAAGAATGTAACAGTGCCTCAAAAGTTCACTGTCGCTTTTGCAAAATTTCTAGCATAACATTCTGTAACTCAGTTTCTAGTCTTCTCTATCTAGGTTTTAAATTATTTGAACTACTACTTACTGAAAATGAAGAACTGTTTCTTAAAGTGCCATAGAGCAAAAGACAGAATGAACATTCCAAAACAAAGCAGACTTAAGTATAAAAAAAATGAAAACATACATCCTGCAATAGCTTTGATATCCCACAATGTCGGGAAAGCAAGCTAAGAGAACAACAAGTGACCCGTAATAACGCACAGCAGGCTCTGGATCAGCTGTGTATGTTATGACACTTTTAAATGGGACAGCGATTCTCTATTCAACTCAACAGTTTAAAAAAATCTTGCTGGAAAATTTAGATATAACTCCGACGTGTTTCAGTTTAGTGGTACAAGTGTTCTGGCCAATCTAAGTCAGTTATCTAAGACAATTTAACATAACACCTCTTTTAGTTCCCTTACAAAAACAAATGTGCCCATTTCTTCCAGGTCTTTGGTCTTTTACATGAACATTTAAAAAAAAAAGTTAAGAATGAATTTAAGCAACGGCCAAGAAAAATAAAAAAAATTCAAGTAGACATTCAGCATGTAAAGAATAAAACACAATTTGACAGAAAAGGCGGCAAGAGTTTAAGTGACTCCACAGGAAATGGCCAAAGTGCTGATTTTGGATCCACAGGTGACAAAGCTCGAATTCCATTTCAACATAATGATAACGATGTTGTTTATGTGCCTTTGTGAATAGAAACATTTCAAGAAAGGGCCTCCTCTTTTGTCATGAGATGGACCGACAGGAATGTGATCAAAGCTGATACTTACGGAGCAGTGGTACATTCTCCACTTGCAGCACGACCACATCCACGTGGTCAGACTATAGTTTGTAAATCGTTAGAATGTAAGACTCAGTTCTTGAAGGCTCCACAGCGGCTCGCCCTGCTGATAAACTCCTTGAGCATGGCGCCGTCTACCTGCCAGAAGGCTCCAGTTTGAGTCACCTGAGTCAGATGGTTTACACAAAACCTGAAACAAAACTCTTCCAGGTCCTGGAAAAGAAAATCCCACAAATAACACAAAACAGGTTAAGAAGATAATACATGTTAACAGCAAATTAAATTAAGCTCTGTCGAGAATAAAATGCTGCAGCAACGTACATAAAACAGTACAGAAGTAGAAGGGGAGAAAATAATCTGGTTCATGTAGTTCACCATTTGTACACTGGAGGTCACTTTATCCTGAGATAAAAAGCCTTCGACTGTCAAGCCAAGAGAAACATGACTGTGACGTATCTGTCAAAGTATCATCTTTAAGGAGAATTGCAGTAATGGAATATTATATCAGCATTGGTTGTAGATGGTTCTGCAGTGATGAAATATAGCACGCAGAACTTAAAAAGGAAATGATGGACTGTGAATATTTTCTGCTGCCTCTCAATCACTGTAAGATTGTACTTTGCTGCTTTCGCACAATATGGCAGGAGAAAATAGGACAAATCTGCAAAAGTAGGACAAAAAATTAGAATTAACCATTACACCTCAACCCTGGCTATGCTGTACAGTTCGTCCGAGTGTAATGGTACCTCTGCGTCGTATCGTATGGCGGCAGACAGCAGGGTGAAGGCGTTTTCGACAGTGATTCCTCTCATGATGATCTGCTGACACAGGCGTTTCAGGCGGTTTTCACAGTAAGAGGTAGCCAGGTCCAACAGGCCTGCAGCAACATAAGAAACACACTGTAGAAACACAGGCCTCCACATTTTTTGAGTAATAACGAGAATGCAGTGTTTGAAAACTGTGTGGATGCTAACCAATGGCGTCCTCAGGCGGCAGGTCGACAGTGTCTGTGTAGAGAAACTGCAGGAAGGATCTGTAGACGGGGTAGGAGAACTGGCCGATCTCTACGACGTCCTGCTGATCCTCCGTCCATTGGGAGCGAAACATGGAACGGAAATGTTCACACCTATTCGCAAGAGAAGGCTTTTGTTTACTATGCACTTAGGGCTGAGTATTGATCCTCAATGATTTTCTAGTGCTGGTTGAAATGTGGCTTGTGTATCAAATGGCCCCCGGAAACGTTTACTGGACATGATCATTTGGAATTTTGATCTACATTTTGCCAGTTTTAGACCATTTTATCACAAACAAAATGCTTGTGCATCTGCATGTGATTAGGTACAATTTAGAGGGATAGTTATGTTTTTTTTTTGAAGTGGAGTTGTATCAAGGCTTTATCCATAGTGAGTGTATTACTCAGGACTGTCTGATGGCACGATACAGTGGGGAAAAGTGGCCAATTGGAGTGACTGTTTTTTTTAATGTCTTCAAAGCATACTGCAGGTAATGCATTGACTACATCACCACTTCAAATCCCTTTAACATATGAGAAGTTAAGTTTCTTTTGCACCAAAGGCTTTGCATAAAAACAACATCCTGATACGTGAGTAAGACATCAAGAAGGGTTTTGAACTGTCTTGGAAAACCTCAAATGATATGCTGCTTTAAGTGTGAATGGAAAAAGCAATGGTTTCAATATATTTATCATGAAAAGCTACAGAAATATGAGACACACACCTGATCTTTAGCACAGCTTTATGAACATGGATGCATTTGCCGTCAACGCTGAACTTGAGGTCAGCGGTTTCAGGACTGTCAAACTCTTTTCTTAGAGACTCGGCAACTGTCATGAAGTCGTCATGCTCTAGAATAAAACGCAGATTCAGTGTTTACCCGCAACATTCCTTTACTTGATGCTTTCAGAAACAATCAAATCTAAATCCACCATAACCATTGCGATCATGATAACTCTGCTACTGAGGGTTGTCACTTTCTCTCACCCATAGACATGAGACGCCACATGACCGAGGGTGTGGCGAAGCAGGCGAAGACGTCGTCTGTGTTGGCGAAGTGTGTGAGGTGTGGCAGGACGATGGCTTGGCCCCGACACTGACCCCACATGTACACCTGGAGGATGAGCAGTTTTACTACCACAAAGGTTTAAAAATATCATAATTACTCAATAAGGACGGATGAATTCATTTTTGTGGCTTTAGTTTCGGGGCAGTTATTTACAAGCTGCCTCGCTGTCAACCTTAATTAGAGCCATAGTTAATTACATTAGCAACACCTGTGCTTCACAGACCTACTCCATAGAAATGGTACAGTATGATTAATGCTGGAGTTTGGAGGCTGATACCAAGTTATTTGACAGTTTCATCTTGATTATTGAAGAGGTTTGTTAAACACTACAACTGACTGGGACATTTTTAGATTAAAAAAAAAACTTGCTTAAAATTGGGTCAAAACTGAGAAACCCTCAGTAATGCACAAACGATGAGCAAAACAGCACTTACAGCACAATGCATCACAGTATGATGAGCCAACAGTGCTGAGAAATTAGGTGAAAGAAAATGTGCACATCATAAAAAGTGGTTGTAATTCCATGACCTTTTTAAGAGTTGTATGAGCCTTTATCTCATCAGGGTTGATTAGCACAGACTGATTTAATATCTCAGGTCAAAATCAGATCATAAAAACTCCCAGAGGACCCTGTTTAACCAGTTATCCATTGACAAAGGCACACCTGTTCTAGGTTCACTATATCTGATTTCCTCATGTTTCTGTCCACTTTGACTCAGAAGAAGATATAACAGTGGCAAAATGTTAGTCTGTCTGCACAAATAAAAGCTCCAGTCCTCTTCCAGCTGAGAATGATCCACAGAGAACCCTGGAAACATCACAAACAATTAGTTGCATATATACCTGCCCGCTTTGGGTCTTTGCTGCTGAAGTGTGCGTTGAATGGCATGCTGCGACCTCCACAATCCTGCTGAATGAGAGATATGTTAACATACAGGTAGTGTGGTTTTTTTATAGCCAGTGTAAAGCCTTGACAGCATTGTTTTAGGGACTGGAGACACTTTTTCTGTGGCCGGATTTGACCTATAATCGTTGTTTACGAAGGGGAAGAACTCCTTTTGTCAAGTGAAAACTACTTAAGAGCTGGAACGGAAATTGGGAGGGAGCAAGGAAAGGAAACAGGAAAGTTAAATCTTAACAGGATGAGGGAGAAACTTTAATTGTCTCCAAATACAAGGACACACTGCTCTGTAAACTCCTCCCCGTCTCTCCCCTGTACCTCTCTTTGTCAGCCATGATTTGTACAGGGCTGAGGTGATTGCTCTTGTTGCCAGTTCCCAATTGACCATAAGTGTTTGCTCCCCAGGCGTACAGCAGCCCTTCATCTGTTAGCGCCAGGCAGTGTCCGTAGCCCGATACAATCTGAAAGCAGAGAGTAATTTAGGTGGTGCTGCAGGTAACAACTATATATTCAACTGAACCATCACTGTCGTTTGTGTTTCTTAGAAATGCTGAGACAATCAGAACGAATGATTCAGATGAGTCATGGGTGAGTCATCATAAAGACAAGTATGTGACAGCCATCATTTTTAACCTTGGTAATTATTGGTATTATTCAATAACAATAACACTTAGCATCACATTAGATTTATTAGATGCCTCACCTGATGAACGCACAGCCCTTGGAGTGCAGTAAGGCGACAAGGTGTCAGCTGGTTCCCGTTGTTACCGATACCCAGCTGTCCATTTCCATTGTAGCCCCAGCCATAAACCTGAACAGAAACAAACAAATCCCTTCACTGCATCCTGTTCAGTTTTCTCATATTAAAGATTTCATGTAACACCATCTTCACCTCTCCATTGTCGGCCAGAGCCATGGAGGAAGTCTGTCCACATGTGATGCCTACGGTAGTCTTGCCCTGCAGGGAACCAGTGACTTTCCTGGGGTGGGGCTGGTTGGCTGTGGAGCCTGAACCAATCTGGCCACAGTTATTATAGCCCCACGCGAAAACCTAGAGGGGGGGAATGTTGTCGTGTGAGAAAAGACAATTCACTGATGAGGGATGCGAAACAACAGTATTTACAGCATGGAACAGTGCAGTGAGTAACATTTAAAATGTTAACAGCCTTTCGCGCTTACCGCACTCACAACCTAATTAGCTTTAATGCCTTTGGGTTAAAAATAAGCAGCTTAGAGTGTCACTAGCAGGGCGCGAGGTGGCTGGTCAGGTTATCCGAGTGACCTATCTACAACTAAACATGAAATACAAGCGAACTGGACAAACTGGTCACATGCTGCTCCTATTTTTTAAATAAATAAATTGGATTATGTGGTCAGATGCTTTAAATCAAGTCTCTTACTAGCCTTGTGAAACCCTCACAAAACAACCACTTCACTTGTATCCACTGGTTTTTTTCTAAGATGTTCAATATTGAACTTAAAAAATTAAATTCTAATGTCTCAAGGAGTTTATCTTCCAAATGTTTCACATCAAAAACAATCAATATAATAAAAAGAAGCTGATAAAACAGCATAACTTTGAAAGATTATTACCTCTCCATCATGAGTGAGAGCCATGGAGTGATGCGAGCCACATGCCACCTCCTTCACTTTCTTGTTCTGCAGGTTAGAAGTGATCAACACCGGGGACAGTCCCTGGTTGGTCATCCCATTCCCCAGCTGGCTGTAGCCGTTGTGCCCCCAAGCAAACAGCTGTCCATCTGCAACGAATCAACACAATAAAACTTTAACATAAGTGATGTGCTTTGCCTGTCTTCTACAAAAATGTAGAAACTGCTGTACAAAATTTAAACAGAAACAGCAGCAAAATGTTCTGTTCTGTTTAGCCTGAATTCGTGTTCACGCTGATGGATTCCAGTTTTTGCACGTAATAAAGTATGAAAATGTCTATAAAAATAAATGAATGTTGAGCACATGGGTTGACAGGGGAGATGTTTGTGCAGCAGCTTTATTTAGAGACATTTATAAGAGCATTTTGCAGTTTTCTTCCACTTGAACTTCAATGATAAGAACTTGAGCCGTTCATTATTAGGGACAAAACTTCCAGCATTTAACAGAAAGCTTTCAAACCATTTAACACTAAAAGCCTTTGAGCAAAATGTCTCAAGTTATTTAAATTATTGGCTTAAAAAAAAGAAGCTCTAAATTAACATAAATATGACTTTCAGATTATTATAGCAAGCATGAGTTAAATCCTCCATACAAGAGTGCCTCATACCATTTCTCTGTGCTGCATTTTGGCAGTCAGCTTTCTCTGTAACAGCCACTAATCTATAGAATAGCATGACTGACAATGTGAGGTGCTGCAGTCTGCTGAAAGCTGCCCAACTTTGCACTTACTGACTGTTGTTATCCCATCGTCGTACAATCATGATGTGCTGCTTTGTGTAGCTTTGTATTGCGACTCTTGTGAGTTCTTTTCTGTATACGGCTGTATTTTTTCACCAGTCTGTCTGTTATTCTGTTGGTGTATTTTGTTCTAACCTACAGATGCAGACTAGCTCGATGCTGTAATCTGATGAGGTGCATCAAATGGTGAAATATATGCCTCAGCTGTACTCTGTTGCTTTGAAATAAACAAATTAAATAAAACCTACCGTCTGTAGCCAACACGACATGTGGCCCACTGCCATAGCTGAGGCTGACTACCTTCTTCCCCCGCAGGAAGTCCAGTTTCTTTGGCACAATAGTGCTCAGACTGTCTCCTGTACCAAGGCAGCTACTGCAGTTCAACCCAAACACAAATACCTGGGAGACAAAAACACAGGTCAACATACCAAAAGATACTACTACAGACTAGATTTTAACATCTTCTAACGTTTATTCTCTATTTTCTTTTATTATTAACAGTAAATAAGCAACAAATAAAATTGTCAAGAGGAGGTAGAGAAAAATATGAGAAAGCATTGTATTCCACACAATAAATACAAAAAACAATGCAGATATGTGGCAGACATGTGTAAACCTCTGTGTGTTTTGATAGTGGCCTGCTGGGGTAGGCTAAAATTCCAGTCAAAAGGATATTAATTTTAAAAAAAAAATTAAAAAAAAGGATTTCCTGTAGCATGCTATTGTTGTGACAAATACACATATTTCAAACACAAAATGCAATCCATTGAATAAGTTTGGCTACTGTTTCAGCTGCCCTCTACCAGCTGAACAAACTACATAAATGATGTAGACTCCCCCTAGAGTCAAACTGATCTTAAAGAAATAATAATGCTTGAAAATCAAACAACTAAGCACACTCCTCACTTCATTTCCATGTGTGATGTAGATAGCTTCATTAGCAGAGGTGCCAAACACACAGGCCTGTCGGATCGCAGCAAGTTCCTCAGAGCTCAGCAGCGAGAACAGGGGCCATTTACTGACGTCCACCATGGCTCCTGCAAAACTCAGTTTTCCTTGTCGGAGAGGAGGAGTCACGGATGATGGCGGAGAGGAGGGGGGCACAGGAGGGGGAAGACGAGGGGAAGGGAGGACATGAGGAGGAGGCGATGCTGGTGGAGGCGGGGAACAAGGAGAATCATCCCTGCTGATACTGCTGATAGGACAAGACGAGAGATAGTTCAGAATAAATATACAAGAAGAATGAACTCGTTACACAGCCTCTGGGTTTTTTTTCAGAAGCTACATTTTTGCAACAGGGCTGCACGGTATGCAAAGAAAGAAAACAACATGTTGCCAATATTTTGACAGATATTGTAATTGCGATGAGTCACACACAAAATCTGAAAATGAGGTGATTTCTTTTTTTTTGTGCTACAGTCTGTACCAAACGAGCATGCATCCTCATGTCTGGGGAATATGATATGTAGGGCATCTCTGTGGCACCACAACGTTCATTTGTAATGCCATTTTGTGACACATTTTACCTTTATGAAACATTGCCGCTCGGGTGATTTAGATACTGCACTTGGTCATGTTGTCATTTTGATAATATTTCAATTAACTGCTCAGCCTTACTGGACAAAGACAATTTTCCTTCAGTTTTTGAAGTCTTCTTGAAGAAAACCAAAGAAATACTGCATTAGGGTGTGGCTGGACAGATATTAGCAGAATATATGCACACATACACACACACACACATAGAGACAGATGCACTCAGAATTAGATGCAAAAATAAACTGTCTGGCTCATGATTTATGCGAGTGAACCAGAAATGTCTTGAAGAAACTATCCTTCTTCAGCTTTGAGGTAAGCAGGACATCTCTGGATAAAATCATCGTAATCTCATGGAAATACAAGCATGGCATGCAGTCAAAGCAGCAAAAACAATCTGCAGTATTGTTGCAAGGCTATATGCTTCATGTGCTTGGCTACCTTTAAAACGAGCCAAATTAATTCTGCTATATAATTGGCCATAATAATTTACCTTCACTTATAGAGGAGTGTAAATATCTTGCTCAGCAGCCAAATTTTACATTTCGTAATATAAAGTGATCCAGTAACTTGTGGTGTTTAATAGTAATTAAACTTTCAATAGATATATGACAAGCAGGGCAACTTTTAAATTCCTCGATTTTTGAGTGGAGTTTGGCGTCGCGTCCTCTCCATAGCTAGCCAAAACACATGGGCATTATCAGCGACATAAAAAGTGCGCCATCTAATTAAAAGCCCTCTTATTCAAACAAACGAACAAACTTTTAATTTGAGTCCTTTTTTTAAAGGCAACTCGGCATGCTAACTGCCAATGAAGCTTATTGCAAACGGGTCAGCTAGTAGCTTCGTAAAGCGCCTTTTGTGCTCTTCCTACCTAAAGCATCGCTCCATAACAACGAGTCAACTGAGAAAAGACAGACACACAGACAGCGACAGCATTTCATTACGATATCACTATGGGAAAACAACACATATCTATACAATACGTGAGCGAATAGTATAGAATTACCGGAATAAAATCGTTCGCCCGGTGTTGTCAACAGTAGAGTTGCCTGGTCAATTCTTCTTCCTCGTCTCTCTTATTTCCAGCAGACGAGGCTCGACAAAGGCGCAGCGCTGCCCCCTCTGGCCATTAGTGGAACTACAATCAATTAGAAATGCAGCTCTGAAAGGTGGAAAAAATAAAACTTTACAGTCAGAAGCACTTACAATAAACAAGCAGGATCACCATACAATTTATACTCCAGGCCCTAACACACATATACATGAAAATATTTTAGAAATAAAGCATGAGTCACACTACAGACCTAACATACTGTTACCTTGCTGTGATTTGAATCTTTTTTCTGTGGTACTTATTAGATTTCTAATGCTTTTTGGATGTTTATCGCATTGGTTGGGTTAAGATGTTTATACACTACTGGCATCAAAGAGTCTGTCGGTCTACTGGGGTGCATGATGTATGAATATGGGTGTAGATTTTACTGTCTGAAAAACTCTGAACTGACTAACATTGAAGTGGGATTAAGATGATATCAATCAAAAAATAGTTTCTGTAGTATAATTTTAAGTTTATTTAGATTTGAAAATGCACTTCCGTCTGTTATTTAGTCCAAAGTCATCTAAGGAGTGGTCAAAGTGTAAAACAGGAAAAGAAAGTCATTCTCTTTTCTTTTGATGGTCACCAGACCATTTGATTCCATCACCTTTTGTTCATGGTTCTCTTAGCTGCCCTCTCCCTTGTTTTGCTGCCAATAATTTGAATGCTGAACTAGATTTCATGTTGCCCTTAATCAATGAACAACTTATTAACCTCATACCTACTGGGAAAGATTTAAGAGAGGATGGTGTCGTCTAATTTGGTGAATTTGCCTGATATCTTTCCATCACGAGAACATTTGATATACTGATTAAGCCCATGTTTAAATTAAGTAAGAATTTCTAAAAATATATAATTAAATGTGAGTCATTTTACTGTCATGTCTGAAAAAGATCCTGCAGCAGCCACTGCCTCCTTGTGTGCTTGTAGTTTTCTATAATGAACAGTAGGTGGAGATCTACCACACATAGTGGATTTGTGCTCATCAGGTTTAATGAGATGCATCATTTGGGATGCTCAGAGTGAAACGGTGCCAGAAAATGAATGTTAAGGCCTTGATATTTTAATATGGAGTCTGTTCAGTGTTCCATAAGAGTGCAATGATGCTTTGCCAACGCTGGACTACCCTGAAAGCTTATTCATTAAAGGAGTTTGGAATCTAGACTGTCAGTTTTTAGCTCTTGTAATTGAAATTAGTTTCATTTTCTAATTCTGCAATGACCTGAGTGGAATGGAAGCCACAAGTCTACATGTTCACTGGGATTTGCTTTGTTTCTGATGGGTCCCAAAGAGCTATTTGTAATAGTTTTATATGCCAGGGGATTACAGTAAATATGAAGTCTTTCCAATTTGGCTTCCACTTTTCACCAGCAGCACTTTAGTCTTTTCTGAGGCTTAGCAGGCAGTTATATGATACTCCCTGATGCAGGTCATGTTGTACTTTTCTCTCTGTGCCAACAGATCAATACATCAGCAGGCTCAGTGCTAACCCACTTCACAATAGCCTGGTGTCCATGACACCCTCCTACAGGCATTCAGTCCACAAATGTGCCACTCAGAAAAAAAAAGTGCTGTCAAGTGTTGCATACAGTGTATTTCACATCAGTTAGAGGCTACAATCTGTTACAACACCGCTGTGATTCAGCCCGATGCCAGCACACAATTTCTTCATACACTTGCTTTTCTAAATATTAATTGATTTTTGGTCTGAATTCAACCATTTACAACTGATGTACTGCCCCTATGAACTTCTGTCAGTTCAAGGCTTGCACCTTTTGCCACTGACACAGAAAGCTTCTTAAATAGAATGAATGAAATAAAATAGCTCAACAGTGGCCCAATTGAAATCCAATGTGTTTTCAGTGGTTGTTTATTTACCTTGGTCACATTAATAAAAGTGGTGACCCCCTCAACAACCTGAACATAAGATGTATTCAACTAAATAAAGAAACAAAAAGTGTTTTCAGTGACCCTGCACTTTCCAGCAACAACCCTGCTACCAGCAATGAGCAGAGATCTATATCAAGCGGAGAATGTGGAGCCTTAGACCCTTTCTGATGTAAATTATCTCTCTGAGTGTTGCAATTAAAAGTCACTTCTTTCCTGGTTCATTGGCTGTTTCTGAATCCCCACTGGCTGCGAGTGTCACTCTTACATTTCACTCTTCCTGTGTCCTTTTATTCCTCCTTTTTCCTTGTTTTCCTCCTGTACCTCTCCTCCTCCTCCCACACCTTCTCTGTCTTTGTTCCCGCATCCTTCGCTTTCCCACTCTTCCTTTTCGAGCGACACTGCATGGATGCAAACACAGACACTGTACACAAACATGCAGCTGTAGCTGTTTGCACTTTGAGCTCAGGCAGCTCTCTGTGCACACGGATGATATTTTGCCCCTTGATGACAGCAATGCCATGCTGCAGCCTTGAGCTCCTCAAAACAATACAAGCCGTGAACAGTGTGAAAAAAAACGATTATGTGTGTGCATCTTTTATATATGTGTGGTCTTTGTTGTGATCCAAATGTCACAATATACAAGCCTACAAGAGCAGCAGACGTGGCTGTTTGTGAGGACCATTATCCTGAGCTCATTTCTCGATACTGCAATGCAGCTAAGAATGAGGTTTGTTCCAGGAAATTCAGTGGTTGTCAGTAATTGGTCATTTGTGCCAGCACAGAATTTTACTCTTTTGAGCATGTGCCTGACAATTAAAAAAAAAATACAGATGTCCTTGCCAAACCTCCACAGCCTGGTTAAGATTAACTGTGATTGCTTTATTTAAAAAAAAAAAAAGCTTTAAAATTCCATCATTTTGTAAATGTTTTGCACGAGAGCAGCTTGAACACACACTGCTCAAGGTAGCGAGGACTGGTGTAAGTTGTGTCTTGCAGCATTTTGACTGTAAAAGTTATAGGACTGTAAATGGCCACAGACGTTTATGTATACAGAAAATGTTCGATCATACATTTTGACTGGCCCAGTGCTCTGTTTCTGTGTCACGTCCAGGTTTTCTGTTCACAAGAAACTTTAGGGGATTTACTTTTTGGCAAGATCTCATTCATGCATATAGTGGTGCAGAAGTTATTGTGAAAGAGATTAATATACTTCACACTGCTGGTATTGTTGGTGTTTCTCAGAAAAAAAAAGGGGAAAAAAACATGCACTAAAAGCTTAACCTTCTCTTTATCATGTTTATCTTTATTAATGTTGGAGTAAAAGACTGCTGCATTTTTTGCTTTGCATCCTAAAAACAGTGTGTTGGATTTCCATGTAAATTCAACCAAAGTGCAACATAAATGTCAGTAAGGCTGCTATGCATACAAACCTGCAAATAATAATTTTATGAGCACAGATGATGCTCTTTTACAGCAGGTACATGGCAACACTGAGCTCATGTCTACAGTGAAGTCTGCATTTGCAACGAGAGTGCAAGATAGCATCATTAAAAAAGTATATGGTGATGCAAACTGCTCTGTTACTACACAAATGATGCACTGGTACAGAGTGGATCAGATGGATTGCTGCAAGATGGCTCAGATTCTTTCTAGGCCTTTATAAAGTGGCCCACTGCAATCATGCCAGATCTTATTTTCACCTACACTACCACCATTTCTTCTATATAAGTACCTTTTTTTAATGGTGACTTCTTCTTCACAGTTTTCTTTTTAAGTTACACCTTCATTTCTGTCAGCTCCAAAGGGGGATTTAATTACATTGCAGACATCAAAAGCATTTTATACATAAAAGTCTTTCCTCTTTCCTCAGCAAAAGTGCTGTTTTGGGCTTTGGTGCATAAATTGACTGATTCAAAGGGGGGGAAAAACGAGCCACAGACCTATCTGGAAGAAGGATGGTGTGTTTTAAAAGCCTTTTCGAGATGCCAAAACACTCAAAGACTTAATGTTGTGTGCTAAACTGATTTGTCGGTTTCATTTTGAATTATATCTTGAAGCATCATATGGACTTGCCACAGGCTTTAATGATTCATGGCTCTGACCTCTACACTGATGATCAATAAAATCAGTCCATAATGACAGGAACAGCTCTTTTTAAATTCCAAACTGTGAACTCATTGTTCCTTCTTTAATCTGATGCACTTGTTAAATGCATGTTTGGATATTTTGAGAACAAAGAAAAAAACTAATTCCTTGCATTTGTACTTAAAGCTGATTCTGATCGATATCTGGATTGTGCCAATGTTGCGTTTTTTTCAGCGTGGTTTTGTTTGTTCAGTTGGTTTAAAAATGATACTGGCACACTCCAGGGAGCTCATGTACATGTCAATAGGATAATTAAGCTGTGTACTAATGAGACTTTCCTCCTGCGTCGTGTTTGTTGGGAGTTTGTGCGGCTACAGTGGATTCAGCACTCTGGACAGCTCCTGCTCTCTCTGAATTAAAAATCACTGCAGCATTTTCAGCTCTGCTTCAACCTGCACACTGCTACAGACCTTTAATAGTTCTGAACATGCAGCGCTTAACTCAACCAAAAGTTGCTCTTAATATTTAACAAATACTTAAAATAGTCTTAACTGCAAAATGAAACAAGTAAGCATAAAAGATTGAGAGACTTATTCACACCGAGTGCTATTTCATCTGTTATATGTGGGCCGAACTGAGCAGAACATCTCAGTGTTTCGAAGGAGTCACGCAACAGGTGTGTACATGTGCCAGCGGGAACGGCGGCGTTAAAGTGCCAGATTTTTTAAACGGAGTTTGGCGGAGCGGCTGCAGGATCTAAAGAAGGGCGCGCACGTAAAGCAGCAGCAGCAAAGAGAGAAACAGGTGTGTGCTGGTTGATTAGTGACGCCATCTCGCCCCCCGTCTCCAAAAATGTTGCCGGTTACGGTTTACATCCAGTCAGAGAGATTTCCACTGACGGTGTGGGAACCACGTGTCTCCAGTAACTGGATGCTGCTTCTCCCAGCAGGACTGCATCAAGCTGCACGAAATGAC